ATTATGCGCGCCCTTAAGAACGAAGAAAAATAAAAAGATCCGAAAAAAATGTCACTTTCCTCATCCTCCTCCCCTAGTATTAAGTTGTTCGATATTAAGTCACGGTTTTTGTTTCCGTCAACTTAATATTGAACATCCTATCGTCTACTCCTAATCTCTTCCGACACACGTCCGAGAGTTTCGCTTGATATCACCACAAACGCACTATTGTGTGTAGATGGTAATAAACGCAGACCCACGTGAAAAAGAAAAGGAACGAAATAATAGTAACACATACAGAAGATCAACGACCACGCAACAATAGTGCAAATGATATTCAACGAAGCACTTTTCAAGTCGCCGACATCGTCGAATTTAATGAATATCTATTTCGTGAAATATTATAAACACTACCAGTGGTCACGAGAGAGTTCTTCTAATTTTTTTTTTCTTTTCCAGTTGTTTCCAATTTATTTCCATTTATTTCCGGATGTTAAGAATTAATATCCGCGTAACGATAATCGGAGCCCGCGTCGCGGCGCCGAGTAAGCCCACGACCGACTCCTGATTACTGTCGCCAGATACGATTAATAATAATACAACTTTTACAAAATAATAATACTAAAAAGCGTCGGGTTCGTACGAAATTCTCGTCGCGTCGACGTAACTAATAATCCGTTTGCTAAATCCCCGGGTAAATGTCGCGTCGAGATCGAGGATATCCCTTTCCTTCCTTTCTCTCTCTCTCTCTGCCCGCTCACAGATTTCTCTCTTTCTCTTCCGGTTTTATTGCCTAAGTAACCTAAATCGGCGTAACTTCATCTAACCCCATGACCGATCGACGTGTCAAGAGAATGTCACGTCGGTTGATTTGAGCTCCCCGTTCGTTGGGCTTCGATACTACAGTGGAATTAACCGCGTCGATTGATTGATTAATGAATTAATTAACCGTGCAATAATGCAATGTCGTCTTGATCCCAGAATGCGTTGCGAGCCGCGCACCGCTGCTTCCGGGTTATCGTCGAGTTTGAGGTTAGGTCGCTTCCGTCCTCGGGCCCGACCGAACCATCCGGACGAGTCTAGAATTCTGAGGAATAAATTTTAGAAAATGTGAACAGATAAGACTCCCCTAAATTTTACATATTTCAAAAACTTCCCCTATTTAACTAGAAATGAAGGATACGGCGCGGACTTGAATTGTTGGGCCCCAAAATTGAAGCAACCCCCCCAAGCCCTGACCTGCCCTATCGCGAATCTCGGCAAATTTTCGGAATGTTAATCAATGCGAATATGCGTCGATTTTTAGAACACTTTAACAATCGAATTCAACGCCGAAGAGAACGTGGAAAATTGAACAATATTTCGGGTAGAAGGGGTAGAAATTCAAAGGAAGAGAAGGAAATATACTTAAGGCAAAGGTCACTGATATCGGGTGAAATTCTGAATTGTCGACATTAAATCCGATTGTTCGATCGTTCCCGATAACGCGATAAGCCAGGTCTCGATCCCCCTTGGTCGCGTTGCGGCTCGCCCGATAATAAACGTCGATATAGCTTAGGAGGGCGCCCATCCGATATAACTTTATTTAGATCTATGGTAAATCCTCTCTAGAGTAAATATATAATTAAGCCATATATTTAATCAGGTAGACTCTTCAGATCGACGCCAGCCCTTTCTTGCGCCCGGCCATCCCCGAGAGCGCGCGCGCATGCGCGCGATTCGAGTCCTCCGCCTCCGCCATCTTGCCTCCTCCGTCCCTTCACGATCGTCCCTTCGTATAACCCTCGCGAGAGTTTTACCCTAGCCGTGTTAAATTTATCCGGTTTAAGCGTCACCTCACTTCATCGTAGTGTGTGTCGAAATATATGTATCGTAGACAAGTAATGGACAGCAGCGACAGTAGTAATAGTAATAGTAGTAGTAGTAGTAGTAAGTAGTAGTAGTAGTAGAAACAATAGTAACGGTAGCAGTAGCAGTAATAATAGACATATAGTAATCATAATAATAATTATCGTAATAGTACAATAACAATGACTCCGTTAAATCGCGCGTATTCGAGGTGTAATCCGAGGGTTAAAATTTAAACGCCGGACGGCGGTCTCGGGCCTCCAAGATGGCGGCCAGGGACGCCGGCTCGGCAATTCGTAGTTATGGTACAATTTCGTTCGTCCTCTGGCCGCCTCGGGGAGGGACTCAAGGAGAAACTGAAAATCGAGGTTCTGGTTTGATCCTACGATTGATATTTATAACGGGAAATTCACTGTTGATCTTTTATAGGTCGTAAAGAGCGGACTGACGTGCACAGGGGAATAAGAAGAAGAAGAAGAAGAAGAAGAAGAAGAAGAAGACCCGAGAGGGTCATCCGAGTGAGTCGAGGACTCGAAACAAACGAAGAGGCGCGGGATACACGTCGAGGAGTGCGGAGGGTAAAAAACTAATGTACACTAGGAGGTAAAAAGTACACTAGAGAGGAAAACCGACGGTCGTCGGTCGGGCGGCGAGGAAGAGGGGGATCCTGCCGGTACCCCGCGGTCAATGTGCTCGTAGATTAGATGTACATACATTATATAGTGATGATCGTTTGCTTTTTTCCGTTATAACGCTAACTACGGTTTATATTTATATATACTCATTTTTATGTATATATATAATAGAGATAAGTCAGCCTGTGAACGTCTATATTCGATTAAGTAATTCTAGGTTTAGCTAGCTTTATCCTCGTTTACTGCTCGGCTAACGCGTTAACAACCTATCTCATCGATTTCCCCTTTGTTTCAATCCATTTCTTCCTTTTTTATGTAGCGATTTCTGAGATCGTGGAGGGACGGACCCGCGCAACTTTTCCCTTTTTCACGATTCTGGCCATTCGTCGGAGCAGAGGCGAATGGGAGCATTCCTTCCTATTATGCTAATCTAAAATCGCTGACTATGGGCCAGTTCGAGTCGCGCTTTGCCGGATTTATATGTATATATTTTTTTCAATACTTCCTCGTTTTATAAACTGCGTTGCCCAATGTATAATTCCTCTTCGGTCATTCTCGCGCCGCGAGAATTCGCGAGAATTCGCGAGAATGGCCCGCGACCACTGACGGAAGGAGACGCACCCACTAAAATCGAAAGTCTCATTAGAAGGTCCAGAGCTGCACACCTCGCTAGGCAGGTGGCGACACTTTCGGGATGTCGAGAAAACTCGCATTCGGCCGGAGGAACCGAGTAAAATTCCAAAAACGGCGGCAGACAAAAAGCAAAAAAAAAGTATGACAATTCCCTTAGGAAGTCTCCTCGTCAGTGTCCGCGACCGGCACGACGACCAGGACTAAATAAACTTCGACTTCCCGACTAAACATATATTTACGTTCGCTCGGTCTCTCGTTAGTCTCAGCGCGTCTCAGCGTTTCATTTCCCACTTTCCTCTCCGTCGTTTCATCCGCACGCCAGCTCTCTCCCTCTTTCTCTCTCCTCCTGAATTATCTACCCTCTCCGCGCAATCCAGCTGCGCCGATAACGACGCAGCGTGCGTGATAAAACGGATCTCTACGAAAGAAAAAAAAAAAAAATCCCCCAAAAAGACGAACGCAGCCATCTTTCCCTTTTAGTCCTCCTGCCAATCCCAGCGCCGCAAAAATGGCTCGCTCGCGTCATCGGAGACGTCCGAGACGTGTTCCCTTTTTCCTCTTTCTCCAAAATCTCTCTCGCGTGCATATGTATATACGTATAATATATATATATATTTTTTTCAGTTTGATATAGTTCCGTCGTCTCTCGTTCGCCCTCTATGTAGGAATTTCGCGTCTCGATTTTTCCAATCGCGAGCTCACAACGCGAAGGCCGTTCCTTCCTTCGGCCGGATCGCGCGAGTCGAGTCCCTCTCTCTTCAAGGTGTAGGTGTGTGCGTGTGCGCGCGCGCTCAAGAGAGTGGAAACAGGAAATTACACGTTAAAAGAAAAATAATAAAATAAAAATAAAAATAAGAGTTCCAGGACCCCCCCATTTTTTTTTCCTCCGCCTCGAGTGCTCGGCTCCCCCTTGCGGGGACCCGACTCGAGTTCGTCTCCTTCGTTAGTTTTTGTACCTTTCTCCATTTTTTAAGAATTTTTGCCTCTTTTCTTTCTCTCTGCGCAAAACTCATGCCTGGGCAAGGCCACTCTTACCGGCGAGTAGTTTTCCTGTTCTCTCTATAATCAGACCCCTATTTTTCTATTTGCTTTCCCAGGGCTCGCCGCGCGATCCGGCACACTCCGTCGCTTTTTCTGACTCCTTCTTTCCTCGGCGGTTCCGCGTCTCCAGCCCGAGACAGGAAGAAATGCAATTTCAACGATTCCGACTTTATTGAACTGAAGGACCGACCGACCGCGCACCGCGTTCGCTCCGACCTCGGTCCGGCACCCTGGACCCGTTGGACGGAAAGATAGACATCAAGGTAAACGACCCACGAGGTCGCCCCATACGGGATAAACCCCGTATCCTGGACAGCAACCCCAGGAATACCTTCGTCGACCGGATCCAGTGACGCGATCTGACCTCCTCGTATTCCACGCGATAACACCCGTGGACCTCGATCGCGACTCGCCTCCCCTGGGAGTACCTAGGTGGTATCGAGGACGTCTAGATGTCCTCGGCGAACACCTAGTCGCCTCCAAGCCCAGGACTCCGTAATTCCTCCCGGTCAGCCGTCGCCACTGGGGTCGCAGAACCTATTCCCAGGCGGTCCATGTGGAGAGTGTGTCTCTCCTCGAGGAGAGGTGCAAGTTGCACCCGAAGCGTCCGTCCAAGGTCCAGGAGGCCAGGCCCCTCTTCAGTGGTCAGGTCGACAAGGGCCGGCCGAGGTGGCCGTGGGCGAACTCGAGGTCGCGGTCGTCGTCAAAGCCAAGAGAAAGAGGGAACACAACCCCCGAGCAAAGCCAAGCCGTCCCTTTAGCGTGTCTCTCCGTTCCGGGTGAGTTAATACAGTCATGAGGTTTGCCAGTCTTTGAAATCAAAGCCCTGCTGGCCGGGTTTAGGGGCGCTGGCGGCATACCCACCTTGGTTGCTCTCCCCGGCCTGGTAGGAGCGCTGCGGATACGGCGTGTCGGCGTAACTTGCGTAACCCGAGTAGCTGTAGTCCTGGGTCTTTCCGGAACTGCTGCTCGACCCCGGTGCCCCGGAGCCGGTGGTTTGCCTCGAGTACATGTCACCTGGAACACCCGTAACGGTCACTTAGTAAGCCGCTCCCGAAGCCCATCCCGGGTCTCTCCTCTCTCCCTGACCCCGATAACGCCGCCTCTCGCCTCTTTTCTCTCTCCGACTCGCGCCGACCGATCTGCCGAGCCTCGCCCTCGACACTTAAAGGACGGAAAGAGATTGCCAAATGCGTGCCGGTCACCCAAATCAATTTCTCTTTCCTAACGATCCAGCACTCGATCGTCTCCCACGTTATTTAATAATATTTAATATTATCTAATTTTATCTAACAATCTAGGCGACTAGCACGCACTTCGCAATCATCATGGACACGCGACCCGTCCTTTAACTGTTGACCTCTTCTCCCTAAATTTCCTAATCCCTTTCACCGTGTACGGTGAGATCGCAAGAAAAATCTCCGCTCGCTTCACCAAGGTGACGATCGATAAACGGATTGCAGGCACACGGCAAGCAAACGGGGGGGTACAAACAAAAAAAAAGAAAGAACCAAAAACGAAGCGATTCCCGGCTCGAACGTGGACAGGCCTGAATGAACGACTGCGAGGGTCCCGAAAAAATTGGGACGGATACCCCAAAAGGCGACTCGTCGTTCATTCGACCTGGCAGGGGAGAAAGGTCGGAGGAGTTAAGAACAGGAGTGCACTATCCTAATCTACCGCCTAATCGATCTCGTCTTTCGTCGACGTCGCGCCCGGACACTCGGTTCGAGCAACCCTTCCTACGCGGATTCTCCTCCGATGACGAACCTACGTCTCTAGCTCTACGACTCTTCGAGTACCATTAGCGAGTACAGAGAGAGAGAGAAAAAAAAATAAGAAGAGAAGGTAACGAAAGGGAGAAAAGATGAAGAGAAACGTGGCAAATCCTCGGCGAAAGCCAAGCTACGAGAAGCGGGAGGTAGAGCCAGGAAAGGAGGGTCAACGAGTATTAACGCCGGATTAACCCTCAGGGTGCACTCGGGGTCATTTCGATACGTGACCCCGAAATTTTATTCTACCTACGTTTCTCAGACATGATTTCTTTTATTAGACCGTGCGACCTTAAACTTCAATCAATCCGCTAGAGAGAACGTCTTAATCGTTGCTCCAGAAAAGTGCACGGTGATATATATATAAAAAAAAAAATAAAAAAAATTGGAAAATCGCTCGAGGTCAAATTTGACCCTGGGTGCACTTAACGATTCTCTACGAACGTGTGCACACTAAGGATTAATACTCCCGAGGATCTTGTGCTCGAGGACGAGAAATAAAAAGGTGTGTCGTCGTAGTGCCTCTACGAGTTCCAAGGAAGAACATGGACGAGATACATCGATAAAGGAGTGCCCCGGCGCGACGACTTCGGCATTGCGCTTCGAGGCCTCAAATACGCATTTCCCGGGGCGAAGGAGGCGTCGGGGGGTTCGTTCGGCGCATCGTTAAAAAACTGGACGTTAAATGATCCGATGCGACGCGGCCTCGATCGTCATCTACGGCGCCGGACGAGTCCCGACGACCTCCCGGGGTCCATGTTCGAGCCGGGAAGTCCGCAGAGCCCGGGACGCTAGGCAGATCTTCGCCGTTCGGTCAGGGTTGAGTGAGGTTAACCATCGGAGAGGACGAGCAACGGTGCCGGACGATTAGGGCAGGGCAGGGCAGCGCAGCAGCCCGGGGGCCTCCGCTACAAAGAACCACACATGACTTTAGTAGAATCCAATGAACGAAGCCTCGGCACTGACTTCGAGTCCTCTCTACCACTGCCGAGAGTGACGAGACGCGCGGTGTCCGCCGATTCCCCCGAACTCAACCATGCGCGGACATCCGCGTTTAAAAGATAAAATCGAAAGCAACATCTCGATATCGGAGAATGGAGCTTAAGACCACCGGGACCGTGTACTTTCAAATTCAATATACAATAAATAATAAATGAACTAGGTGTAAAAATGAATCCGAAGGAAAATAAGAAGAGGAGAACTTTCGAGGTTATGGGAGCGGAACGGATGTCCGTGCAGGGCCGTTCTCTGACGGAAGAGTTCGGCACCGGCGCCCACTCTGGCGGTAGTCAGCAGAGGCAGAGGCAGAGGCGTCGTCGGAGTCGGAGGCAGAGGCAGTGGCAGAGACGCGGTCCCGTCCTAGAGTCGCCGATGAGACAGGGGCCCGGAGTTGGAAAAAGGAGAGACACCGTGTGTGACTGAGGTGTATCAGACTCACCCTGCGGGCCAGAGGGGTTCGAGTTAGAGTTGGGCTGCGAGGAGTTGGGCTGAGGGGGCTGGGGTGGGGGCTGGGTCCCAGGAGGAGGCCCATTCTGAGGCATGTTCCAGGAGTTCCAGGCACCCCCGGGCCCGCCCCCCGCAGCCCCGCCAGTACCCGCCGTGGGCCCGTAGCCCCCTGAAGCGGCCGCCGCCGGCCCACCTGCGATCATTAACCACACGAGACACGTGTAACAACCGCACGCCTTTTTCGCCTCGCCGGCCGTAGCGTCGCCTCTCGCCCTTCGCCACCACCTTTCCGCTGTTTCCGCCTCTCTCTTTCGCCCGGTTTGGCCGAGAGAGCCGAACGGCGGCGGGAGCGGAGCTGGCCGCCGCCATCTTGGAGCCGCGCACGGAAACGGCCGGAGATTGCCGAGCGGGCCCGAGCGCGCTCGTTCGCGCCTCGTCATTTCTTCTCGTATTTCGCTCGAGATGTCGGGTAAAATGCGCCGACTCGTTACTTTTCGCCGAGTTTTTAAGGACTCCTCGAGGTAATTCCGTCCGAGAATCGGTCGAGTCAGCCGGATGAAATCAAGGTGGCCACCCCCCAACGGTCACGTGGCGTCTCTCGCGCGAACCTCCACGGATGTTTTAAAAATGTACTCCGAGGACTCCGCGACGAAAAGTAACGACGAGGCATCCCACCTTCGGCTGCTGTCAGCACTCGCCGTGCTCGGTTCGAACAAGTGGCAGCTAACCTCTCCAAAAGCAGGATGGAAGGGGAGGGGACAGGATCAAAGTTATGTTAATCGTTATAACAATGACCTTATCGTTGCTTTGGTACACTCTCGACCCTTAACCGCTGTTACCGGGGCCCTGACCATATTAAACAGTGGTTAAAGGCGAGGCCGACGGAGAGGGCGAGGTAGGGGACGCTTCGGCTCTCTCTTTCTCTTCCTCTCGAGTCAACGAACGGATATATCTATTGCGGTTTCGCCCAGCAACCTCCACCTCTTCCCCTCGTACGGAGAAAATCCCAATGGAAGATTGGCCGTCAATTTACGTCCGAACTCGCACCCCTTCGACGCGAGCTTCGCCGAGTACCGGATTAAGGGAGAAAACCCTTCAAAGCGTCCCATAAAAACGTCGGCGACCGACCATCCGCGAAGCTCGCGAGGGACAGTCGGTTACTCCGAGACTGCCCTCCACGCAATCGATCGTTTCACCGCCAAATAGATCCTCAACTCGTTTCCCTTGGTGCTCTTCCACCCGGCAGGCACCCCCAGGAAGTGGCGACTCGGACCGCATAGCGACAAACCAAGAATTCCCACCCTTGTCGGTATCCCTTAAGGTGGCTACACACCTACCTCCAAACTCGCACCGATCTAACCCTCTAAAACCCATCCACGTCCCATACATCTCCATACATATACGTATATTTCCCCTCGATCATTACGCGTTAAAAATAAAAAAAAATAAAAAAAAATACATATCACCGATCATGGCGTTGAATCGCCCCAATTTCTTTCTATCTTTTTTGTCCGTCTTTCATCGATCGATTATCTTTCGTATCTCGTCGGTGCAGATCGGCAGGTCTGGATCCATCCGTAGGTGCGTAGCCGGTCGTTCCTCCTCGAGCTTGGGAAAAGAAAACTTACAGAGGCCCCCGAACCCGCGTAGACGCGCTCCCGTCGGAGTCCGGCGCGGTACTAACCGTAGGCTCCCCCGTAGCCCTGCGTGGCCGCAGCGGGCTGCACGTTGTAGCTGCTGCCCCACTGGTGGGGCGGCGGGGGTGGAATCTGCTGCTGCTGCGGCGGCCCTGGCGGGGCGCCCCATCCCTGGGTGTTGTACTGGGTCCCGTACCCGGCGTATCCCCCGGTCTGGGGGCTGGTGCCCCAGCCCTGGTACTGCTGCATCATGTTGCCGGGAGGTCCCATCGGGCCGCCCATCATGGGCCCTCCCATCTGGCCGTTGGGTCCGCCCATCGGGCCCATGTTCCCCGCCATGCCCATCGGCGGGCCCCCCTGCTGAGGTGGGCCCCACTGGCCCTGGTGGCTGTCGTTCATCTTGTTGGACGAGTCCCGCGGCTCCGCCCGTTTTATTTCAACCTGAAACCAGAGTGCACGAGACGCGGTCAGACGCGCGCCCTCCCAACACTTCCGAGAGGGAGGAGGACCTCGACTCGATGGAAACGACAATTTTCTCCCTCTCCTTGGAGGGAAGAAAGAAACGCTCACGGAACCTCTTCGATTCTCCTCGAACGGTACCAAAGAAATGTTTCGTTAATCCAAACAATGAATCATTCCACTCGAATAGAATCAAATAAATTGTCACGATTCCGAAGAAACGTCGCGACCGATGTATTCGAGTCGAATCATTATTCTTCGAATTGACCAAATATTCCAACGATCCAAGGACATTTTTTTCCCTCGCAAATTCTCGCAAATTTCATCAACGATTTGGGTATTTAATTCCGTCGAGTCGCGGCCCCCTCGAGAAGTCAGGTCACCTAGGGGATGTTTAATTATTAACGCTGCGGCACGGAGGTAAAACTCGACGTTGACTAGGAAAGACCGATGAAAAGACTGAGTTTTGATTAATCGAGGGATTGTTTCTTCCCTACTTGAAAATATTCTGAAAAAATTTGAAAAACCGGGTCCTCGTGTCGGTGTTAATAATTAAAGGTACCCTCGGTGTCGAGACCTGCGAAGCGGTCTACGCGGGTAAAACGTTGAAAAACGACTCTTAACCGTAGCGACCGACACCCAGAGAGCGACACGTCGTTAACGTTTAAAAAAGTCACCTGTTGCTTCGCAGAAGTTAATATACCGACGTTAATACCCTTCTCCTGAGCACGGCTGGATGAGCTTGGTCGCATCGCCCATTCGACTTCCTTCTCTCCCCTAGGGAAGAGAGGAGAACTCGGACTCGATGTTTTTTTTTCTCTCCCTATTCTCTTTTAGCAATCGCCGGCAACAATTTTACGTCTCTCCGTCGAGGGGAGAGAGAGGAGGGAAATTCCCTCGAGGGAAGCCGAAAGTTCGAGGCGACCAGAGCGAGTTAACCTCGGCGAGCAAGCAGCGATCAGGAATTTTGAACGGCTTAGATAAACGGTCTAAAAAGTATATGGATTAAGCGAAAGTATGTGCAACACCTTAACGGCTAGTCACAGGTTTTTGTTTTTTTTTTCCTCTCTCCAGTTGACATGGTATAATAACTCTAGAGAAGCCTAATTAAGAGTAACTAGGAATTTGTTAGCCACCGATCAAATGCCAATGACTGACCCTGGGACTGGTCTCTTGGCCGACATCAAAACGGTCCACTTTGAGCCGATCTTAACTAAACGGTACACATACGTATATATTTCTTATGGTAATTACAAATAAGATACAGGTCCGAAGTAATTAAAATACCCACTTGTTGGTTAACCGGCTAACGGCATGCTCAGTAAGGAAGAGACGTAGCTCGTATGTGACCCAGCTTATCACCCCGTTGCCCCCTCAAATCGAGCATATTTCTCCGAAATACGTATAAATTAAACATATGTATATGTAAATAAGTCTAGAGAATCCGTATACCGAGAAATCTTCCAAGGTCCTTCAATTGATCCTAGACTAAACGCGAATTATCGTTCCTATTAATCAGCCCTCCGGTGGGCACTCTCCATCTCGTGAACCCTCCAAGCTAAGAGCAGCTAAACGAGTCGATCAACTCCGTTAACTTCTACCGCATCACCCGGATTTAAATATTCAATATCATCGAGCTAGGAGCTTGCAATCTAAGAGAAAGAATAAAGATCGGTCTCAACGACGCTAATCGTCCCATCGAGCGTCGTCACACGAGTCTTCGTCTTTCTCCTTCACCTCCGAATTATCACTCTACTCCTCGTATCTATCTCCTCTACATACAAACGCACGGCGAAAACACTCCGTTTTAATCGTTTATATACCATTTACGCTAATTTAATAGTAACTCCACTAACAGCGACCGGTGCACACGGGACTACCACGAGGTGTGCACCTCTCGTGCACAGAGAGTCCCCGTTCGGTCTCCTCTACCGTATATCTTTAAATTACCACATACAAATTACATCATTATACCATAAGATATATATAAGTGTTAATATACTCGTAAACCTTTGACACGTATTGGTTAGGGACGCACCCATGAGCGCGCGGACAGGTGTACCGCAGATGCAACGGATGAAAAATTTCTAAGGAAAAATTGCACTTTTTGCCTTAATCGTGCCCGATCTCGAAAAAACCCCTCCAACAAAAGTTCCTCCGGATACTGTTCCGCGCAACTTTTGTAAGAGACGTTTCCTCGTGTCGTGCACGGTTAAGCCGAGAAGTGCGTTTACGTCGAGTACCGCATGGCTGCTCGAAATCGCGGTACACGTGGCGCGCACTCACGGATACGCGTGTCCTGTAAAGGAAAAAAACTCATTCCTTTCGAACGGATCGATTAACTCGTCACTACGCGATGGAATTCACATGCAGGAAATCTCATCCGGTTGCGATTAAAAACAGGAAAAGAAAAAAAAAAAACAATCAGGTGTCAATAGAGCGCAGTCAGTCGTGCGGAATGGATCCGTTCTTTGGAAGAGTTTTTCTCCAAATGCATATATGCGAATACTTGTGTTGTGTGGATATGCTATACCTGTTTTCCATTCAAGTTGACGAAATGCTCGCTGACACATCGGTCCACTGCATCTTCGTCCTCAAAGCTGAGAAATCCGAATCCTGTCGTCCAAACGTGACACATTTACATGAAAAAAAGTTCCCGTGCGAATATGCTCCAGGTTACAGCTTAATAGTTGTAATATATGTGTATAAATATATGTATATATGAACATTACATCGATAGCTTTGGAATTGACAGACAGTGCGACCGTACTATTTTATACGATTAGTCATACATAAATTAACGCACATGTGGAAGTGGCTGTATGGAGAGTTTTATGTCGAGTGGCTAAAAGGCAGTACACGACTTGGATGAAAACAAAGCAACGATTTGTAAAACCGTGTTCTACGAAATTACGAGTGAATTTAGTGGCCACTAAACAAATTTTTCTCATAAGAAAAAGAAGAGGAACGCGAGAAGAAAAAATAAATAAACTCGTTTAAGAGATCGGGTCGTTTCTATCGACTTGACCCTTTGGTTCTCCGAAATCTACGTTTTTAAATAAATTAAATAGCACTGAACATCCTTGATATTTCTACGATTTCTACTGCTCTAACACCGTACAAATTCACGACTTCTAGTGCCTCGTCGACTCTTCAAAAGTTGTCAACAGTAACCGAAACAAAACAATTCCCAGATATCCCACCGAACTTAAATGATCTCACAGACATGTGGAGCAGGAGCTGAAAACTCTGTAGAGGAACTGGAAAAATATTGGATACATGAATATAGCCAAAACAAGAGTTGGGGGGGCCCCTCGCACCAAACTATCAAGCAGAGAAGAAAGTGTGCATCGGTACGTAAAAATGCATCTGGATGGTTTGATCATCGGGGCATTAAAAGACATTAAATATATCTGCAATGTCCAGGTTCATGATTTTAAACACCTTGTGTAATTGCTCAAGCAACAACTAATTTGAAATTATTAGAAGCTCTAGAAATGAAGTGATGACAATTTTTGGAGAATTTTTAACTGCAATAGTTTACATCCAAAGTGGAAGATTAAATCCAGGTCGCACAAACGTATTTCCTTAATGTTTAAATATGCGATAATCGATATTACAATTAAAATTTGACCTGGAGACAAAATTAGGCACAGAAGAAAAAATTGCAATTAACCCGAGACGATACTCAAGTGAGAAGTCTTATCGAGCACGTGGAATTATTAAATACGACCTTTGTTATGAATTCCTCCCTTGCTTCATCGAAACCATGCAGATTACAAATTACATACACAGAATGCACATTGATTCATAGATGAAGGGTGCATGGGGATACGAGTGGGCGAACTCGCTAGTGGGTAAGTGGGCGTTAACATAAGGTAATACAGGATTTACAAAACATCTTAACTGTTGCTTAAACAACTTAGGCTATGTACGTATAACTTACAGTAGCGTAGCCTGACCGAGCCTTAAGCTACACTTAACAAGTTGTACTTAATCGCAGATGTATTTAACGTACAGATCTACGCACAACGTTGCGTACCGTTGGATAATTTTAAAGTAATGTAAGGTAACGTAAAGTAACGTAATGTAGTGATATATAATGTTGGCAGGTTAAAGTGGCATATTAAATTTAGGAACTGCATAGTTTAAGTAAAAGTAGTCAGAGGTACCTTCTAGTAAATTTAAAGTTAAAATAATCTTACGATTGTTCTTAACGTATTTTAAATACAAAGGGGAATGACAAGATGAGAAGACGTTCTATTAAGTGAGGAAGTGTCCACTTTTCTAAATGTATAATGGCCAGGCAAGAGTTGCGATCAAGCAAATCACATTGTAACGTGGGAAGTTATAGTCGTACGCTTCAGTTTACTGGAATACCTACAAAATTATGTGCCTCTTCGGATAACTTGTGTTACAGAATGAGATAAGAAGGAATTACTTCTTGTATAATTAGAAACGTTGCATTCAAGAAATATTTAAAAAGGCACCTAATTTTATGGCATTATAATGCTTTGAATTCGGCAACTTCCACATACTTTGCAGTGCATAAGAAATAAAAGCAAAGACATACATTTTAAATAAAAAAAATAAATAAATAAAAAGGAATCATCAATAGTTATAAGAAGTTATAAGATGTACTAAATAAATAATTGTAAAACAGTCATTAACTCTGTGGAAATTGTCGAAGTCTTTGCATATCAGAGGATTATGAAAGTAAGATTAAAATGTATGCTTACCTCTGGATTTCTTCTTCTCCTGGTCATACATGATAACAACCTCCATTACTTTGCCAAAACGATTGAAGAAAGATCTCAGATCCGTTTCGGTGACATTACTCGGCAGCCCACCCAAGAAAACTTTAGGAAATCCCCCGCTGCGTTTTGGCTTCTGGAGAGTACGTGGGTTGCACGGTTTTGGGTCAATCTGTAGTCAAAATACATACATTATAAACTACTTGCGCAATAAAAATTATTTCAGATTGCAAGAAAATTTTCACCCAAATAAATATAACTTTACCCCACCTCCCATACTAAGCTACGAAATTCTAAACGCATTCGAAGAATGAGCTTAAACCTTACCGTGCGTCCATCAAGTTGATGAGGTCCGTTTTGAAGGACCAGCGAAACATTGCTGGGGTCGCTGAACGTAACGAATCCAAAGCCACGGCTTCGGCCGGATTCGCTGTTCTTCATAACCACGCAATCTATGACTTCGCCATACCGGCCGAAGTAACGTTGAAGGTTTTCCTGTGTCGTCTCCCAGGACAAGCCACCGACAAACAGTTTTCTGGAAACAAATACACCATACGCTATATAAAACATCGATTCGCATGCACTTCGCATCTCCGGTGTCTCCCGTTAACTCTCAACTGCGGAACCTACTAAACATAATGGAGTATCCAGTGAGCCTAGAAGAACAGTAAAAAGTCAATTCATTTTCTCCGGCGCGTCCACGCAAGGAAAGAATCCTCGAGCACTCAAACTCTACTACGTAGGAGCAGGGATCGTAGGCCGACGCTCCTGTGAGTGACGCCGCGCGTCGGGACGCCGCTCGAGCGAGACCACCGAGGAGATCCTTGTCGAGAAGAGTCGCACGCGGACAGAGGCGAACCGCGATATCGCAATAAAGGACGGGAGGTGTCGGCGGGTGCGTGCGAGACGAGCGTCGGTCACGGGAAAAGAGGGCGCGGGACGCGGGGCGGCGCAAAGCCGGGAAGAGAAAAAGGAGGCCGGGTCTCGGCGCGAGTCGCCGCGATCAGGTATGCACTCACCCCTTTTCGTCGTCGTCCATTTCGGTCTTCACTCTCATAATATTTCACTTAAAACTAGCAGAGCGACGGTAGGCTGCTGGTCGCAAGCGGGAATATGGCACAATGCCTTAGCGTGGACGAGGAGTAATGGCTCCCCGCGATGAACGCGATGCCCGAGTCGAGAACAGAATGTAAACGTAACGAAGCGACAAGCGTCACTTCCGCTACTGCGCTAGTCAAAATCGCGGGCGGGAGACTCGCCGCAATTTTCGGTGGTGGGGGTGACTCCGGTGGTGAGGCACCTCGCCGCGACGCTAGCATTGGACAAGAAAAGGTAACCAACCTCAAAATTATAGGTTAAATCGACCAATCAAAGCGCATCCTCGGATTCCGTCTTCCCTCATACCGCGAAAATTCGAATCTTCGAAATAACCACCGAATCGGTGACCGATGAACCTTATAATTAAGAGCTTCCTATCCGGATAGGCTTAAAGTCTACATTTTTTCAGATGAACCAGGTTCGCGTCTCAACTAAGTATCGACGGAGATGACTGGTACCGACGACGATATCCGGAACTCCTACATTTATCTTTGCCCTGAGAAGTGGCGCCGCCTGGCGGCAGCGCGTTGAACCTCCTTCTCGTCTCCCAAGTCGCAAACCACTCTTCGTCGATTTTCTCCAAAGATACTTACAGTAAGCAAATGAAACACTAGAAAACCCTTACGTTATTCATGCATTCGGTTGTAATTCATTAAATCCCTCGATTCTCTCCAGGAAATCGTATAAACTCCAGCGGTAGGTATAAAAATCTAGTACTTCTCCCTCGACGACTTCAGATTTACATATCCTGATAATTCCAGGGAAGAGGCACGCGACTCGCATAAAGCGCGTCAAGTTTGGCAAGTTACGTCAGTCGAGGAGAGCAATCGAGCCTGGAGGCAGTCGCGACACCTTACGGATGTGAAGACTTAAACTCGTCGTACATTCAACGGTTCAACTGTACAGCTACACGGGCATACATTTATGGAGCTGCCCAGCCGATCCGGACCCTTCCCAGCGCCGTTCCCCGATTAGTCGTGGCCGCGCCGCGCCGGTCGCGCCAGTCCGCGGAGTCGCCTCATCCCGACTCATTCCCGTTCTCGAGGCTTCCCTCCACTTTTCCCACTCCTTAACCTAAAGGGCCCGGCAGAGCCCAGAAGTGCGCGCCGGGCCCAGTCGGGCCCGCGATCGGCGCATCTTCGCGTAGCGATCGACTCCGAGCGTCGACGATCTTCGACGAGCGACGCCGAGCAGAGGGCCGGGGCGTCATAACGGTGAAACGCGACGACCCCGACCTTAGGCCTCCTGTCGACGGCTCAGCTCGCGGCGGCTAGGCGCGCCGTTTGCCGGTTTCGGTGGAACCGGTTATCCGCGTCGCTGCCCGAGCCGGCGTGCTTGGACTGCCCCAGATACGTAACCGGCGAGAAAGCGGAAGACGGTTATCGGGAATTTTCGCGTCCAATTCGGCCGATAAAGGATGCAAGGTGAGGGGGTACCGATGTTAACGCATCGTGAGATAACGATGTGGGGTGCGGATGCCTTGGGGAGTACCTAGATCTTGACCAGCACCCAGTTGGGGCTCCGGTGTTAATCGTTGCCATTAACCGTGGTATTTCGTCAGTTAAAAATCTATAAAGAGAATGTATAAATATTTAAACAGTCGCGAGGATTTTTAACCGGCTTAGTATCTATTGGTTCGATTCACTATAAATGGATTAAGGAAGGAGACCGATTCTTGGGGGGGTTCGATGTTAAAATCTGTGATTTAGACTAGACGGGCCGCTGACGTGCAAAAGATTTCAATGCATGGTTTAGAGGGAATATCTGGAATGGACGGCTTGTATTACCGAGGCTGCTAATATGGGATAACTATTTGCTAGTTTCTTGGACGCTTCTTTTATGCGGCTACGCGAATGCCGGTCAACCAACGGGGACGGATGGCGATGAACTCGTGGAGCAATCTGTTTATACAGATTGCAATTAAATGGTTATCTGGGATTATGGTCGGAGGATGGAGTACCTCGCAATCGGTCCCACAGGGGGTCGACTTGTTCCCATAACGGGCTCGCATGTAATCGTGCCATGAGTGGGGTCTCACAGTTTATTTCCTGGTAGACTCCACGCTAATAATTGACTGAAAAATCGTTAATATATCATTAACATATCAGAAGTACACGAATCATCATCTAAACCAAGTCGCAATGGAACGTTCAGGTGAATCGGTATTCGCGATTCCACTTCTTTTGGCTTAAATCGTGCCTCAAGTTAGCCTCCGTCGTCGGGCGGTTTCCGCGCGGCTTGGAACCCGAAATAGCGTCTCTTTTTACGGGAGCTTTTTGCGCGACCGTTTGTTATGCTTTTAGTATACCCGCGAAAGAGAACTGCTGCGTTTGGATCGTGGCAGCAGCCAGATGTCTCGATGACTGTTGAAATTAACCGACTAAACGGATATCCGGATAGTGACGTCCGTAATCCGGATCGCGGACGTCCGGATTATCCGGCCGTGCGGACTACCGGGATACTCGCGATTGCAGTTATCAATATTAAAATACTTATTACACGCATTCCAAAGACGTGATATCCGAATTTTACAGAACTTTAGATACACTTTAGCGCGTTTTATATTCAACTCTCGCTCGCAATGGGTTTCAGATAAATCAGATGCAGATCGAGGACGAAGTCTCGCCCGCAATCTGCGTAATACCGTTGCATAATAATTCATTTCCTAAGCAGGTAAGACCTTTATCTATTATGTTACGCGTTTCGGGTTTCATGCTCCATGAGTATAACATGTCATTATATTCCACTCAGGCATCGCTCAATTCGATATCGCTACGTGCAATTTCATGCAGAATAAAAATGTCGGGTAGAAAAAAGTCCGTGGTAAATAATTTTATACAACGTTTGTACGTTTTTCCAACACCGCGCCGTGTCGCAACGAGGTGTGTACATTGACGCGATGGACGTGCAATATTTACTTTGTGTGGCATGCAAATTATTCACTAACGAGTGGACTTAAGTGCCGGGCAAATAACCGAGGGACCTTCGAATCGAAAATCCCGAAAAAGGAAACCAACGACGAAGGCCTTCGTGGCAATTGGAGAAATCCCCGTTTGCAAAATTGTCAACATTTGTTGCAGATGGCAAAGCGTTTGAGAGACCGCGTCGGCGTCCCGGTGACCATTAGAAGAAGAAAATGGAGTGGCGTTAAAAAAAAGACTGCGACGAGTACGAGAAAAATCCTCTAACGGTGATAAGCGATTCGGAGGAGGACGCGGACAACGTGGAGAACATTTTATCGGCACGTAAACCATCGAATAAATAATAAAAAGCAAGGCGGAGTGAATCGGTTTCCTCGAAGCCCTCCTCGAAAAACGTCGGCGGCAGAAGAAGAAACCCGCCGAAAGCCTCGTATGACGGTCTAAAAGGGGGAAAAGAGAAAAAAAGAGCCGACCGAACGCCCGGGGCCGGACCGAGGGCAATCGAGAAGGGAAAGATATCCTCTAAAAGAAACCAAGGGCACAAAAACCGAACAATCGCCGACTGTTCTCCGTTCGGCATTCGAAGACATCAGAGGGAGTTCCTGGGAACCGCCGAAGGCTGCAGCAACCGACTTGCGAGATTTTCCTTGAGGTATCTGTGACTCTTAAGACTGTATCACCCACTAGGTATTACTTATAAAAGCCTGAAAGTGAAAAAAAAATGACAGTACAAGTGTAATAAATAGCGAGAGTAAAAAATGTACCATAATTTCCAGGGGCGGACCTTGCTACCGTATCTCCACGATTGTGTCGACGAAAGGAGCCTCTTGATAACTCTCGTGCAAGGCCCTCGGCGCTTCTCATTCCCGGAACACCTATAAATTAAAATCTGAAAGTCGGATCCCACCCGGAAGGCCAGGGAAAATTGTTCAGGGTCGAGTTCAGGGTCTCAGGCCCGACCGCAATGGAGCGCGGAGGCGTCAGGGATCCATTCCGGGATCAGGCCTCGGTCTCGTAAATTCCAGCCCGTGACGAGGCGGGATCTCCAAACCTCGGCCACGTGGCCTGCAGAAAAAGAAGAAAGTCCCACCTGGCAGTCCACATGGGTGAGAAATCCAGGGCCGAAGAGCGTCCCGACACGATCCCGGGGGAACGACCCAAGGAGGAGCATCCATGCTGGAGGTGAGGGAGCAACCAGTGATGCGTAAACAACGCGGCTTAGCCGGAGCCTTCCTGGGCCTGATCTTGGGCCTGATCCTGGGATTCTCGATCCTGAACTACGAGATGCTGCCTACGCTCCTCCTGAGCCCGGCAAATGGGACCCACAAGGCCGGACCCAACCAAACTATGGACCCGAACGACCAGTCTTCGCCTCTAAGGAACATCGACCCGCGAAAAGACGGTGGAATCAGCAATTCGTCTTCTAGTTTGTTGCTGGTGGGCGTCATGACCGCTCAGAAGTATCTTAGCACCAGAGCGAAGGCCGTTTACGAGACTTGGGGGTCCGAGGTCCCAGGAAAAATCGCCTTCTTCTCTTCGGAGAGCTCCAGGGTTCCGTCGAATTGCCCTGACCTTCCTCTGGTTCCTCTTCCCACGGTGGACGATAGCTACCCTCCTCAGAAGAAGTCCTTCCTGATGCTCCAGTATATGTGGAAGAACTATGGCGACAGGTTCGAGTGGTTCTTCAGGGCCGATGACGACGTCTATGTTAGGATGGATCAGCTCGAAAAGCTCCTCAGGTCCGTCGACTCCAGGAGGAACAGGTACATCGGTCAGGCTGGAAGAGGGAATTCCGAAGAGTTTGGATTGCTCTCGCTGGAGTACGATGAGAACTTCTGCATGGGCGGCCCTGGGGTCGTTCTATCCAGGGAGACCCTCAGGAGGATCATTCCCCATATCAAGCATTGCCTGAAAAATTTGTACACCACTCATGAAGACGTAGAACTAGGCAGGTGCGTCAGGAGGTACGCCGGGATACCCTGCACCTGGAGCTACGAGGTATCTTGAAATTGAAAATAGTCTCGATTTGCAATAACCGATGTTAATTATTTTATGGTGCGCTATAGATTCGGCTTGGCAAAGGGGACTTGATGGAGTCTAATCGCTCGGCATGCTGTCTGTAACGAAGGTCTTCCTAATTACTCCACTTTGCATGTCTTTCATCTTACCGGAATTACTGGTCGGCTCTAAACTTAAAATTCTGCAGAAAATTCTATTCGATAATTTAGGGATGATAATTTATTTGCAATAATTTGTTTAGTATATAAGCATTTCTAGAAACATTTTCTGCAGCTCAATTGTTCCATAACGAGGCTGAATAAAAATTCAGAATTGGCATTTGATGGTCGATTCGAAGTATCGGATGGGCGAATTGCGCGAGGTCGAGGCTCGTTTAGCCACATCGAATCCAATTGAAATCAGCCCCGAAGAATCACCTCAATGCCAAGACGAATAGTTGAACGATCCGACCACTGGGTTAGCAGGGTACGATTCACTTATTCGTAACAGGCAACATCCTCATCTGTAGATAGTACCATCTCACTTAAGCTAAATGTGGAATACATCCATAACGTATGCGCGCGCGTACGCTCTGCAGACTCGTCAAGACCTAGCGTCCGGTTTGTATGCATGCACTAACATAGTTTCTGGTTTCTCGGGCTCGATTGAATTATTCTTAATTTACATGCATTACGCACCGCCGTTGAATTACGTTAGGACGTACGTCGAGAGGACTCGTCCCCCTTCGCGGCGCCACGTGAAGACCCACTTTTATCGCCAGGCTCGCATGATACAGAAAAATAGTTCCCACAAAAGTTTCAGCTCATGATATAAGGAACAACTTTTATTCGAGACGTTTTCCCGAATTGCGTGACGTTGCGGAGAGAGTCGCGATTTATATGCCTCACGCGGTAACGGTAAATTACTTCAGGACGTACGAGCGTCCGCGAGGGCGTACTCATCCATCTCTTAAACCAATTGAGACGAAGACTGATTTCTCCGCTTAACGTTACGTGATAGGAATAAATGTTCCTTACGATAGTTGTGGGGCACGATGTGAGGGACAGTTTTTATCTGGGACGTTTTTCCATATCGTCGGTCCAGAAGGAGCTGCGGTGACCTTTTCGGTTAACTCGGCAGTTACGATAATGTAGAATGTAAGACAATGCAGGGTCGGTCAGCATTATGGGCACTCGAGTGTACGTCAAATGTGCATAATTTCCTGAAGGAAGCATGCCTCGCTGGACCGATAAGGAGTTCTGCAGTCTTCAACTTGGTTCCATTCGGTCTAACGAATATCAAGTGGTTGTTACCGTTTTCAAACGGACCGGAATACCTGATTCCGCGTGTAATGAATTTCGTAAAAAAAAATGGTGGGATTCTATACCTTCCGTAATATCGATGGTATCTTCCTTGTTACAGATGCAGTCCATTTTGTATCACAATAGCAGCGGGGAGCAAGCTTTTACCGGGAACCTGAAGAGGAAAGAAGTCCACCGAGCCATCACTTTGCATCCCGTCAAAAGTCCTCCTTACATGTATAGACTCCACAATTACATGAAAGTGAGTCTCCGCTGTGACGCAACAAGTGGAATAGATTCTTTTGTACATGAACAGACTGCATAATTGCATGAAAGTGCGTTCCGAGGGTGATGTAACTGGCTGTATAGATTCGTGCATAGAAATCGAATCTCTTAGCGTGGGAAAAAAAAAGGAAAAATTCCGTCGCAATTCGCACACGTGTTGTTCACCCCAGACTTTAAACCGATCTATTTAAAAATGAATAAGAGTGGGCCGCGGGAATGTCTATTTTAACTCCGCTCGGAAGCAATATTTATAACCGAGACTCGTATGGCCGAAACTTCGGGCTTTCCTTTGGGAATAATATTTATTTATTTAACTAACCGTTGCAGGGTCTCAAGATACAAGACCTCCAGCAGGAAAGGATCCAGTTGCACAGAGACATCCACACATCTGCCAAGCAGTTGAACATCGGCATCGAAAATCTCGAATTTCACTCCTTGGCCAAAAACGTGCCGCTGTTTCCTGTTACATCCGACTCCGAGGATTATCCAGGCGACACGAAATTTCTCGGTAGAATTTCACTCGAGCTTGAATTAGTTAAACCAGGTCTGAAAAAAAATGTGGAGGATTTCTTTACATTGCTGGGTGTATTGAATATTGTAGGTGTCCCTGCGGGACTTACGGCTTTCAAGCCCAAATCGGTCAAGGAAGTGATACCTTGGGACTTCATCTCGAGGTCGGAGTTCAGTTTGAGAGACTCGAATCCCCGAAGAAGGATCCACAGTCACATCAAGGAGGGCCTGGAAGACATCACGAGAGAAGTTATGGCCTCCATTAATGCCTGCTCTCGACAACGTGGAAGAATCGTGGAGGAAAGATCAGCTTTGTACGGCTACCGGAGAGTGGACGTTTTCGGAGCGGACACCATCTTGGATCTCCTTCTGGTTTACCGGAAGTACAGGGGCCGGAAGTTGACGATTCCAGTCAGAAGGCACGTCTACCTGCACCAACACTTCAACGGTATTCTCCGATTCTTCTCCCTGAAAACGGAAGATAAAGAAAATATTCATGGATCTAATTTATTTTGACTACCTCGGATATAAACTAATTTCGCGTTTCAGGTCTGGAGATCAGAGAAGTGGTGGACGGCGTAGAATTGGCGCCAGAAGGCCCGAGGAACGAGAAATCCCTGAAGAGCTTGCTCCACGGAGGTCTCCTCAGCTTCGGCCTGGGTCATCGCAGAGATCCGAAGAGTCCAATGGATAAATTGATCCGTTTCGTGCTTCCCCTCTCGGGAAGGTACGAGATCCTCGAGAGGTTCCTGAAGAAGTACGAAGAAGTGTGCCTCCAGCACCAGGAGAACGTGGAGCTCCTGCTGGTCCTGTTCCCCGACAAGTTGGAGGCCAACTTGACGAGACCATTGACCTTAATAGACGATTTAAAGTACAAGCACCCGAGTTCGCGGATGGACGTGGTTCTAGGCTCTGGGAATTTCTCCAGAGCGCGAGCTCTTCATCTCGGCGTGACGAGGTCCAAGAGAGAAGACCTCCTCTTCTTCATCGACGTCGACATCGTTTTCACGAGAGAGGCTCTCACCAGGATACGGCTGAACACCATCGTCAACCGGCAGGTGTATTTCCCCATAGTGTATAGTCAGTTCGACCCCAAAGTCGTGTATGGAGACCGGAAGAAGCGAGACGACATGCTCGTGAACGACTTTAGTGGGTACTGGAGACAGTTTGGGTTTGGGATAGTATCTCTTTACAAAGAGGACTACGAAACCGTGGGTGGCTTCGACTTGTCCATCAATGGTTGGGGGAAGGAGGACGTGGACCTGTTCGAGAAGGTCGTCAAGTCCAATCTGACGATTTTTAGGGCCGTTGATAGGAACCTCGTGCACGTCTACCACGAAGTCGAGTGCAACGAGGACTTGCCCGAATCCCAATTGTTGATGTGCAAAGGAACGAGAGCGGACACTTACGCGGGCACGGAATTACTCGCAAAGATTATCTACAAACATCCAGAGTACCTCAGGTTCGCCAGGGAACGAAGGAAGAGGGTAAATGGCCCCGGGAGGTGAAAGTCCCCTAAGTCCCCCAAACTCTTCTAGGTAGCTGAAAAATGTGTACAGACTGCTCCGAACAAACTCTCATTTTTTTTTTTCTGCCAGATTTAAGAGAACACTGCACAAAGTGGCCAAACATTCTGTGATGCATCCGACCAGGCCTGTCCGCAGATTTTACTATTTTAACTAAAAGTCTAGGTAGAATTGTCAGTTTCGCTGATACTAGGTTACCAGGAAAAAACGAAACGAAATGCCCGACGGTGGTAAATTTCCTTCTTTAGTTTAGAGCTTTCCGCACTTGTAAATTGTACGATACATCTGGCCTGCGCGATTTGCAATAAGTTTTAACGTAATTCTATAAAGATCTTGAGTAGGACAATTGATCGCTCGATTAAAAATGTCCAGAGTAGTCAATCCGAATCGCTGTGTTTAAGATAGTATATTAGGTGTACAACGAATGGATTGAATTAATTAAATGTAGATCGTCTCGTGCACCCGAGGCGCGAAATTCCCGACGACTCTAGAAGCCGAGATATAATTTTTATTTGAATTTATACAAGGAATAAATAAATCCTTAAACAAACTTCGTACGTCCTCCCCCGTAAAGATCAAAACCCGAAAATGTTCCTTTACGGGTAAGCCCCTCCTAGAAAAACCTGAAATTCCCCGGCGCCTAAATCGGGGATTATTTATTATATCGATTTGCATATCGCGTCATCATCGAAACCCGGCGATCGGCGAGGTTAACGCATGCCGAAATTGATTCCCAAGGTGCAAATTCCACCGTTTTTGACTTCCGTAAAGCTGCTCGCTCACGTTCTGCCGTTTTACCGTGTCCAGTTTTACCGTGATGAGTTTCTCGGATATTTAATGTACAGGTTCGCGGAGGGGAGGAAGGAACACGAGAGGAGTTTAGAGGAAAAGAATCGAGAAGGGGATTCTCAAAGGCCTGCGGCGAAACTTTCCCTCGTGCTGGTCCGCTCGTGTCTTCGAATCTTCGAATCTTCCAGTTCCCCCATTTTTCTTCCATTTTTTACGCCTTCTCAATAATCTCCCGTTATCTTCATGGAACGAGGAAAATGCGGCGCGTCGCCGGCGGGGGGACGCGTGAATAATTATCTCGACGTTTTTCCGACTCTACGGCCTGTTTCAGATAGGAAATGTTACAAAGTTCAGTAGTTCTCGCAAAGTTGTGGATTGTTCCGGGTTCACGGTGGATTTGTAAGACCGAGTCGGCGTATTATGCGGAAATCCTAAAAGGATCCCCACGGGAAGCGCAGGAAGGAATTGCAAATGGCGGCCGGTGGCTTCTGGGTAACGCGGGTTCTTTACGGCGTAAGGCACGAGCCGGCTAATCGTAACTTACGGGACTTATGAAACTTTATGGACTTTCACGTGCGGTCTTTCCGTCCGTTTCTAAGATCGACGTCACGACGATCGGTCGCGGTGAATTTTACCCTTCCCGGAATCGGCGTTCGTTAGCTAAATGCCTTTGTTCTGGGTAGATGCACTCGGGCTTCGACGCAACATTCGGAACTTGGCTAACAGCGGGTGCGGAACAGAAGTACCCGGTGTGTAATCGACTCGTAGGTAAAAATGAGAGTAAACGAGCATATTCCGCTTATCAGATAAAGGCCGTCTGCGGCGCCTTATCATTTAACTCCGCGTTTAAATATCCAGAAGCCATGGTTACACTTATGGCACAGTTTCGCTACACCTGCTCCTCTCAAAATACAATCCCCTCGACAATTATACAATTTATTACCGTACATCCCTGGATGTACAGTGATTCCTGTATTCCGGTAGAAAGATATCCGGTACACCGCATTAGCGAAGTCCTGGTGTTATGAATTAATACCTGCCGACCCCGAGGGCGTCTCAACGCGGTTCTCGCTCAACTTCCGCAGCGGCACAAAAAATCCCATTCCGCCCTATCGGGCTTACAAAAAGTGTAGCGTTTAGCAGTCTCGTGTCTATATCCGGTAATCTCAATTATTGTAAAACATAGATCGGTAAATATCGATAATTCAACGCCTGCAGCCAGAGATATTAGGCAGGGCCTTGTTCTTGCACTGCCTCAGCCATCCACCCCAAGCCTTGAATCCATCCTGGTTATAAATGATTCTGGCGCACGCGATGTCGTCCTGGATGTTGTCGTCGGCAAAATCTTCACAGCGTTGGTTACAGATCCCGCCTTTTCTCCCGCGAGTGCACCACTTAAGGCTGCTGATTTGGAATATTCCATAGTTGTAGCTGGACGCGGTTTTCGGGCCAGAAACGAGACGCGTGTCCATGCCGCTCTCTTGTTTCATCAGACACAGCCAGTTGCTGATCATGCTCCTGGAGATGCGTCCGTTCTGCAGCTCCTTCACGGCCTCGCATTCGCTCATGATCTTACCCTCGGCCGACCCAAGGCTGATCAGGACGACGGCCATGACCGCCAACGCAGCTTTCCCCCGGAACATCGTCCTCGCGTTTGGCCTGCTCGACAGAGACTAGACTAAAATTCGCTAGCAAGCCAAGCAAAGCGCCCTGACGCTCGCTGATACGAGGCGACCTTGAGCGAGGCGCGCCTCGTTTTATCCTTCATTAATAAGGCGCCGAGACGACTTTAATTAAGTGCCACCGGTCATCTTCCTTGTACCGTCTTCGGGGGTTAAGGGCCCTCCACAATAGATCCCTGCATACCTGAGGTTAATACTAGTTATTGCAAACCCTCTATGCAACACTTCTTATAACGTATCATGACGTATTTAATTACACGTTACGTTACTTACTTTCTGGCATTTTCTGGGCGCTGATATCGATACGGACTGACCGTGAACTTCAAGCTGATTACGATGCTTCGGTAGTCCCGAGGTCAGGCATGAGCTGCATTATCTTGAACCAGGAAATCGGCAGGAATTATGGCACTTTCTTCGGCGGCGAATTCGACCACGGGAACATGTAGATTTGAGGTTAAATGTAGATCGGTACGTCGAGTGGTACCCTGTATGCAGGATCTACTGCGTTGAAAATTCATTTCTACAGTGTAATGAGCGATTAAGTGACGCAAATAAATCGTGACCTTCACGCGCGTATTATTATTGCGCATTAATGAGCCATCACACCAGAGTTGGGTAGAATCGAAGAATCTTTAGAATTGAATTGACGCGCAGGGAAGAGACGCGCGCGTGGCGCCATCTCGCGGCGGCGCTCCGAACCGTTTCCTATGCAGAAGCCATCGATAAGGGACCCGATAAAAAAACTGCAGCCTGTTATCAATCCTCGCTGTTTGAATATTCATAGAGTCGAGGAGACGCTTATTTTCAACATACTCGATGTTTTAATGCGAGGCCCTTCTCCTTAGAGTCTGAATAGAAGAACAAAGAAGAGGAGGAAACACGACTTCCATTTCGGGGAATTGCGTTGTCTCGTGCTCGGTCTCTCGAAATTCCCGAGGGAAACGATTTACGCAAACGTGGAGGAAGTCTCGCATAGTCTCGCGAGGAGGGCACGCGAAAACGAGAATCGAGATAGATCGCCATTATGAGTTTCTAAGGATTCGAAAATCGGAAGGAAAATGTCCGACGCGGACCGATAGCGCCGTTGCACGCTAGGCCATCGACTATGGAGAGATGGTACCCGCTATTCGCTCGAGTGAAACTCGAGCGTGCTTCCAAGTGACCTCTATAAAGGTCGCGCTTCTCCGCTGAGGAGACTCCCGGGTTCGCGAAGAAGAAAGCGAGCCGATAAAGAGCAGCAGGAAGCGTCGCGGCTGCGATTACGCGTCGCCGCCATATTGGAAAACACTCTTGCAGCGACGCGCGTCATAATCCAAGATTTCTTCGCGATATTCCAGTTCCTCGATATTTCGATAGAATATAAAATACTCAGAAAAAAATAGACGTCTTATTTTACAAATAAATTGCCTTAGTTACTGAATTACTCTCGAAAAATCGGGAAAAGTAGGCAACCTTCGACCTCGAGATGCAGCGGATGACGCTTTCGATTCGTTTCAACCCTCTGTACTGTAATTGTGGGTTATCGCGTTTGTATATTTTGTAATGTATAGTTAATAAATTACGGGTATATTTTCGAGTGGTTGTTGAAAAGTAAGAGGATTCAGGCATCGCGTAAATCAAGGGGTCACCCATCCTAGCACGGAGAACTGGGCCTCTTGCGGTTTGCCAACCGGAAGCGTTTCTCCCGTTTCCACGTGATAATTATAAGGAAAGATGCGCGCGACGCTATGTAAGCGGTCGTTGCGTTGGAGTAATACCTGCCGGTTATGCTTTCGACCGCGTACGAAGCCACATATCCGTATTTAAGTCATATTCTTACGTCCTCTGCTTTCCACGGGGCGGGTTTCTCTCACGCCTTCCCCACCGAAATCTCTCGACACCTATTCGCAATATCGCGTTAAAGAAGCCGAGGAATTGTCACGATTCCAGTCCGACTAGTCGTTACGTGTACATAAATTTCCTGGCCACTTTTCGGTGAAATTTATGAAAAATTTCCAGGAATTTTGGCGATTCGATGGAACCAATTCCAGGAATTCTTGCAGGCCGCGCGGTGCCAAGCAACTCGGAGAATTTACCGGCCATACATGCCCGTACATGGCAACAAGGTGCAATTTTCCGAGGATAAATAACTCTCTGAGAAACCACGAGAGTTGGCCTAAACCAACTGTGGTCAGTTGGACGTTAAATCACCCAGACACACATCGCGGTCTTCGGCGACTCCCGATGATTTAAGGCCGCCGCAAGATTTTCACCGACTGCAATCAATTGTCATCCACTCCTCCTCGAAAACATCTTGCAGCTCCTAAAATTGAATGTCAAAAGATGTATGATCACCATTAATATACTCCATAAAAAAAAAAACAACTCTATAAAACAAGACCTGGAGGACCGACCAAGAGGCATCGGTTTCCCCGGGTCGAGGACCTCGCTTTGCAGACCCTGAAGAGCGACAAACAATCAGGATAAATTCTTTTGCTTCTTTTACAATTTCTTTTATCAGCTGTTAAATCACCGAGACAGATCGCGGTCTTCAACGACTTCCGATGATTTAAGGCCGCCGCAAGATTTTCACCGACTGCAATCAATTGTCGTCCACTCCTCCTCGAAGACACGTTGCAGCTCCTAAAATTGAATGTCAAAAGATGTATGATCACCGTTAATATACCCCATAAAAAAAAACCCTATAAGGCAAAACCTGGAGGGCCGTCCAAGAGGCATCGATTTCCCTGTTTCGAGGACCTCGCTTTGCAGACCCTGAAGAGCCTACAAACAGTCCGGACGTGAAGAGGAAATTCCGATGGCCTCTGGATCTAGCTGCGAGGCAGAGCTCATTACGAGTCCAGATACATCAATTTACATCGAAACACGTTCTCTTAGGTCCGAGATATCGAAGGGGCATCGAAGACGTTACGTAGGAGTCCCATCACCGGGAGAGAAGACTCGCGAGGAAGAAAGTAACTCGTCTATTGGACGTACCGGATAGGAGTAAGTCTAATACGGCGCGGAAGATTTCTAGATTTCGAGATTCCAAGATTTTCAACCGACAGTTCGTCGAGGTGAGCGTCTTCCCGTGGAGGGGGCCTCGCCATCAGGAAGAGAACCCTGGGATCACCGAGAGCGCTTCCGTGCTCTCGCGGTGAACGTAATCGTCATAAGCCTCATCGTTAAACTTGGAAAAATGTGACGCTATCTTGTAAGAAAAATGAAAAATGACAAATTTTGTCTAGCGAGTCATTCCATTGCGCTCCTCATTGCCATCTAGAAGCTTAGAAATGTAATGAAATACGCGTAAATGCTTGTAAATCGTGAATTAGGGTACCTCAATTCGTGTCGGTAGCTTCTTTTCGACTTCCCCTTCGAGTGAGAGGCGTACTTAGGCACTCGTTACAGCCAGTCACGGCAATGTCCAGTCTTTGCACCTTTGGTGCACAATTGGCCTCGTCATTGGACATCGTGTCGGGGTAACACGACTCTCAGGGACGACGGGGAAACGCTTTCTTCGTCGTGGAATTGAATTATTCCTGAACTCTTGGCCTACTTTCGGGGATCCATGACCCTGGTTAAATGCTTCTCGATGCAGAAATCGGAGTACAAGGCGAGATGGAGCGAAGGTCCGTCTCTGGCATAGCGAGTTCCATGTAAATTCGACCCGGCCAAAACGACGCGCTGTCCGTCGCCTCTGTGAAAGGGAAAACACTTTCCTCACCGGGGAATTTAATTATCCCTCGCTGTGAACTCTTGGCCCACTTTTCGAGATCTCCGACCCTGCACGCAGTGGAATGACATCTAACCGGCACCAGAATTCAGGTAGCCTGTAACAGCAACCACATGTAAATACGAGATACCGGTTCCGTTGACACAACGTTTACTCCTAAAGATACGACAAGTGTACCTGCCGTCGAGGCACGCTAGAAAGTACCTCGCTAAACGTCCTGATTGTCACCCGGGTTTCTTGGAAACCCGAAGAAATTACCTGGGAATTCTCGGAGAATTCTGGAAAATTCCAGAAATTCCATTTAACCCAACAGTCTCTCGGTCTCTTTCAGCGCCATGTTCTCTCGGGGACCATTTAAGGCCTAAAAAAAAAGTTTTAATTAATAATCTTCAGAACCAAAACCTCAATTTCTTGAGGTCTTCTTAATTTCAGCATTCTCTTCGTCCTCTTTCGGCGTCATATTTTTTAGACGACTATTTAGAGTCTGACAAAAATTGTTAATTAATAATTAGAGATGGAAGTTGAAGGAGGGGAAGCGAGGCATTGTTACGGGCATCGGGTTTCGAGATCTCCTCTCATCTTTAACGACCGCCTCGGCGGGCTTCCGGTAATTGGGGCGCGCTTGCCCACCTAGGGTACATTTCACGGTTCGCACGCCTTTAACGTGGATTATGAGCGGGGCTCTTGCAAAATTAAGTCGAGAGTCCCACGATCCCACGGCTGACACGTCACACCACTTTCCCTGGTCCGGGAACGCGTCTTACGTCGCGCCTCCCCGAGACAGGAAGACGTTCCTCTGCGAGCTATTAAATCAATTTTTCCTGATTTCCTCAGCCCCGATATCCAATAACCATCTAATTCCTCGCTTCCTGCCCCTCTCAAGCTTCCTAGAAAAATTTTTCAACCGCACATTACCTCTCATTTTCCATCCTTAAAATTAAAAAATGCAACATATCTCACTGCGTAAAGAGTACGTGTTTTAAGAGGTAAAACGTGTTATGTCAATCGGGACGAAGAAGCGGTACATCGAGTACCTGTTCCCGAGGTAACAAAGAAGTGAAATCACGATAATGCACTTCGGCGTGGTTATTAAGGTGAATTACCCGACGGGTGTACCGCGTGGGAGTCCTCGAGAAAGGAGCCCATTTGTCGGCCTGAATCATCCTGGAATAATCTCATGGCCCCCGTTTGGTCCCGAAAACGCATCTTGGATCTCGGACACATTTCCTTTCCCCTCCAAAAAAACTGATAAACCCAAGATTCACGAGGTCGAGTAAAATGCCTAAGGCGTTCGCGTTCCGCAAGGTGCTGGACGTGCAGACATTTCGATGAGCAATTCCTTCCATCCCGGCCGTCTCGCGTAAACCTCCAACCTTTTCGCGTCTTTTCCTCCGGAATGTCGATTAGATCGGCCAGCAACCTGGCTTATAAATTCCGGTACCATTATCCTCGATACCCTATCCCGAAGAACCGCACGTGGTGGTCGGAAATGAGCATCGTTCTTAAGCATCGTCACTTCCGGGTCGCCCACTCCGATATATCACCCCACGGAAAGACCCGGGACCATTCGTTTTAATCTCCAGACGTCGATTTCTCCAGGAGGCTGGGATGATAAAAATAAAAAGGCCCCCAAGGAAAAGAAAAAACGGCCATAGGCCTGGGGCCCGTCCGAAGTGCTTCCTCGAGTGGAGCCTCGTTTCGCAATCGCATCTCATTCGGAAAAGGCCATCGCGAGAGAGACATCGGTCGATTCTCCTCGCATCCGAGTTAATGCTCTCCCGGAGGAGGGTCCAGCCAGCGGCCGGTTCGGAGTGAAAGGAGAAAGGCGTCGGGTTCTCGAAAAATGGTTTCGCCTCGAAAAAAACGGAGCCGAGACCCGCGGCGAGCGTAAAGCGTCTGCCGAGATATCTGGCGATGCACCGGATGGGTTAAAAAAGAAACGAAAAAGAGCGAATCAAGGATGAGGACTCGCATCCTGCGCTCGGCAACGGATGAGATCAGTGTAGACTGGTTAACGGTGGCGACGTGTTTTTTTATTTTTTTTTTTCTACAAAAAGAAGCCTTTATACAAGTATAAAAAGAGTATACGTGGTTAAAAGGTAGTTACGATAGGGTACAAAAATAGTGTATATGTATGGGCGCCTCGGAGCATCCCTCTCGGCGGTCGCGGTTCTCCAAAATGGCGTCGGGACGAAAAGCGACCGCCTCGACGTCCCCGAGCGAGGCTGCCGGCCCTCGTAGGTCGTGCCAAGTGCGGCGCACGACCTCTCGAAGGCCCTCGGCATCGTTCGGCGACTCTAACTAAGCCTCCGCTTCCGCATCCGGTTCCCTAGGTGGACTCCAAGGGTGGCGCCGAGAAGGCTCCTCCGAGGCGCGTGTAGAGTGTGTTAACTCCGTACTGACGTGTGGTATCTCTGTATTTACAAGAGGCGCTTCGCTGCGCCGATCACATCTCTCTCTCTTTCTCTCGTTCCTCTCGTCCCTTCGATCCTGGCACGGGCAATGACCACGTCCGTGATCTCAATACGTGGTCTTGGAAAACGTCCCGAGTGGTCCAGATTTCAGCAGCCGACCCGACCGCCGACGTGGCCGGAGAACGACACGAGCAGTCGGAGATCCACTCGGTGGTCCTCGAAGTTAAGGTAATCGGATCCGTCGTTAAGTTCGGCGGAAAGGATCCATGAGTCGGTGTAAGCGATCTGGCATCGCGTCTCGAATCATTCCACCCTCCGGCTGTCCTTGTCGTTCGACTCTCCCGGGAGTCTTCTGGTCTCCTGGCCGTGGGTCCTCGAACTACAGAGATATCCCGTTTCCAGGTCTTCCTTCCAGGTGTAATAAAGTACCCCACGCGCATAGTCGAGCCTCGGAGCCAGGGAACCAAGTCCTCCGGGTAGAAAAATCAACCTACTCGGTATGATTCCCAGCAAGACCAGGTCTTGTCGGACTCCGAACTCGACTATGTTGAAGGGATCCAGGGATCTTCAAGCTCTTCATCTGGGAATCCCCTCTAACCCCTGTCGGCGGGTCGGTCGACCCTCGCTCCAGCTCCGGACGATCCGCTCGATGTTCCCCTCGCGGTAGCCGCAGTCGTGGTCCAAGTCGTCATCGATGTCCTCTTCCTCTCCCACCTTTCCTTTCTTCGGGTGCCTCTTCTAGAACGGCGCTCCGTAGCTGCCGGAGGGCTTGCTGGGCGCTCCGTAGCTGCTGCTGGGTCCGCTCGGGTAGCCGCCAGGTCCCTGGCTCACCTGGTTGAACTGAGCCACCTGGATGGCCTGTCGGATCCCTTCGAGGTCGATGCCCACCACCCTGGTCTGGTAGCTGGGCACGCCGTAGCTGGAGCTGGGCACTCCGTACTGCTGGGACGGCGCTCCGTAGCTGGAACTCGGCGCGTATCCGCCACCCCCGAAGCCTCCGCTCTGCTGGGCCTGGGATTCCTCCTTCAGCAGAATCTGTCGGATCTGCTCCAACAGGGCTCCGTCCACCGATGCACCTTCGCTTGTCTGGTAGCCCGTCGACACCTGCGTGTACCCTCCGCCGCCGCCACCCCCGAGGGAGTACCCGCCGCCTCCGCCACCCCCGAAGGAGTAACCACCGCCTCCTCCGATGGGCCTATTGTAGTTGTACCCCGACACCGGCGGCTCGGCCAGGACGAGCCCCGCCATACCGACTACCAAACACTGAAAAGAAATTCAAATCGTTAAACGAGCTCGATAAAGAATTATTGGAAAATAGAGTTGTACTCGTCGTCGTTCGCTTTAACGATCCCAGCATGATCGATTTACTTGGAAATCGGTGAACACGATTTTAATCTCTTATTATGACAGACAATGGGATACGGTAACAAGTGACGTTCCGCCTCAAAAGTGTTCCGGTGGTTTCCAACGATTTCCACATAATTTCGAGCGTTAAAATAAATGAGTTCCTGAGTGAATACCCCCTCGCATCCTGGCTATCGGCCAATGATTCGATCTAACGCGGAACTGGTCCCCATCACCGATCGATTGGGTCACCGATCGATGGCGAAAGTCTCTCCAGATGCGAAAAGTTCACTTCGCTTTCGTTGCGAACGAATGGTGAATGATGGTTTTGTAGGGTGTATTTAATTTTGAATATGGGGAAAACGTTGCAGCGAAGTGACGGAATAGGAGTGCAAAGGTCGTTGTACATTTTGATTGATTCCTTGGTACCGCGTAATGCTAATGATCCGACATGCCGGTGTTGTACTTGGGTACTTTCCTCATTAGGAGTTTTTACGCCGCGGAACATTTTACTTGTCGTCTAAATAATCCCCCCCGGGAGCGCGTAATTACATCCAATCACGAATTTTTTTATTCGAAGCCCTCGCGACGAGAAAGTTCCCGGTGCAGTGAGGATGCTGCTTTGCCCGGGGGCCTTCAATGGGTCAACAGAAGTGACCCACGTAAAGGCATTTATTCCCGCGTTCTCGAGATTTAATCGACTTCGATTACTTTTCCCTATCACCGTCGAGCCTCCGGGCTTTAATCCACTAATTAACGGCGATTTCCTAGCTTCTACTTTCCGAACGAATAATATTCCCTCGTCTCGCCTCTTTAAAATTCTCTCCCTTTAATCTTTGTTACGAAAAATCCCCTCGATCTCGAAGAGTGAACTCGAACAGGAAATCAGCCGGAAAAGTAACCTCGCGTAGCAACCGGGGAAACGTACCTTAAAAATTGAATCTTGGTTTTAAAATGAATAATGTGTGGTGATAATGTAAAATTAATAATTATAAAAGTGTTCGGTAACGAGGGTAACTTCCTTTTCCCGGATTCAAAGGTCGAAGACGAACGCGGCTAACTCCGGGACGAGTCGGAGGGTCCGGTCCCGCGAGAGTTCCACTTCGGCCCGGCCGGCTAGGACCGCGTCCGGCGGAAGTGGAACCGCACGGTTTCCCGGTCCCTCTCGACTGACCACGTGCACCCGCGCACTCGCCCGCACTCGCTCGATCTCCCTCGCTCTCCTGCGGCCCCGCGTCTCTCTGTCTCCCTTACTCCCGTAATGAATGTGGAAAGTGTCTTGGCTTACCGCGATCAGAGGTTTCATATCGGCTTCTGTGACGCCGCTCAGTCCTGTGACTCCGCGAAAGGTGAACCCAGGGCTTTTATATCCCCAAGAGAAGCAGGGGGATGCGTGGGGATCTACCGAAGAGGAGACAGGAGCCTCTCGAGTGAGAGTAATTCAGCCAGCCGGCGATTCCCTCCCTCTCCGTTCCTCCGGCTCTCTTCTCCGCGCGCGAGAAACCCGCCGGCGCGCCGCGGCGTTTCTTTTCCGCGGGACTCTTCTTCCTCCGCGGTCGTATGTCTTTTTTCGTTTTTTCCTTCGCTTTTTGTCCCCACGGGATTGCGACACGGGCCACGGACCTTCGGAAATCGCGTCCTAGACCTAGAGGGGCCCAGGCTTTCGCGCCCGTGACGACATCGTCATCGAGATACACCCGCTGGCGGAAGCTCCGCGACCTGGCGCCTCGCAATCCCAGGAACGTTTCAAAATGGCGCGCGCTACTTTCTCCCCTTTGGCCTGGTTGCCCAAAATCCGCCCGGATTAATCGCTCATGTCTTAATAGATGGATTTACGTGCGCTCTTATGGATTCGCGAGCATTCATCTTCCGGATTGCTTTACTACGGAAATTGCAAAGTAGTGTCTCGATCGGGATTTCCAAAATGGCCGCCGTTTCCCGTGACGCCTCGACCTCTTGGGGACCCTTACATAATAAACTTTTTTCTTTTTTCGTAAGGCTTTACAGTGTCACAGGTCGCTTCTCGCACACTCTTTCCCATGTCGACACTGTCCACCCATCAGTCTGACGTAATATTTTTACAAGAAATGAATCAGCTGAGGATGGAGTCGTTGGTCATGAAACTCGCAAGTTGGGAATGTTGTATAATAGTTGGACAAGGTCCTGGAGGTCGCACCATGTTTATGCGATCCTCGGGTGAAATTTTCGGAATACTTTCTGCGTCACGTCGAATCTTGTTAAGTCGTGCATTCGCTTGCAGATGGAATGCGAATTTCATGCTGGATTGGGAATTTACGCGTTGCGTCGAGCGTAATGAAGGTACGCAGCGAGGACTACCTTAGAATCGGATGATTATTTCAAGATGGCGCGCACGCGCAACTTTCTCCCCTACGGCCTGCTTGCCCAAAATCACGCGTGAAGAAAAATGCGTTATTAATAAGGGGAATAGTTAATCGGAACGCGGAGGATGAAGTATACGTTTACGGTGCTTCGGATTTAAGCAGGGCCTTCTAGGTTATCTGCCCCCCGGCGAGGCGGCCAATTAGTCGATCGGATTTCAAAATGGCGCGCGTAACGTTACACCCTAGGGCCCCGCTGACCCAAAACCTACAAAAATAATTACAATATGTTACATTAGACAAACTTAAAAAGAAATCACGACAATTTGTTACATTTTAATTAACGTATCGGCATTGTCGTTTTTTCTTTTCTAGGTCTGTAGGAATGAAGTACAATTAAATCCGATTAAATTCGTGAACTCCTTTTTAAGGCCATCGAGAAGCAAAAGACTGCTCTCGACCGTAGGACAACCGCCACGAAACCTGCTGTCGTCCCCGACTACAAAAGGAATGAAACGCGATCGAATTCTCGTCTCTGGCCGGGTTAACGGAGGAGCAGGAGGAGAAACTGACGAAATATCGGGACTTACTCTTCGATCTCCCGCACCTGCACCCGGGTTACTCGGTCAAGATGGTGGACCTCGTCACCGACGTCCTTGAAGGGAATAAAAACCGTCGTTGCTCTCCACATTGCGATTTACATAACGTATCGACCCGTCGACGCCATCCTGTCTTTAATTCTCCTCTTTTGCGCACACGCAAATATTTCTTTAGAACTAATTGTTACGTGTTAGTCATTATTCTGCATTAATACAAAATTCGTTATTGAAAATACAAGCTCGTAGACCGAAGTGAGATTATAACGCGAGTCGTTAGATAATTTACCGCTAATCCTAGAGGCTCGTCCGTGTACATGTACATCGGTACATGCACAGAGAAGAAAATCAGGCCATTTGTATACAAGACATGATCGGCGTAGCTTTAAATTTGTGAACATCTTGTTATTCCAAAGACATTGGGCAAAATCGTCGCGTTTGGGATGCCACGCGAGTTCGCCGTGATAAATACCACCGCAAGGTAAAATAGAACGGCATGCTGTGTGTTTAAAGAATTGCCAATAGCTCGCGTAATGGCGTTTCTCCTTCGATATTTCCGAGCACATCTTCCCTACGATTTTTTCTACCGTGCTACATTTGACCAAAGTATTTTATATTCTTAAGTAGTATAATACCACTGTATAGAAAATTCGTCAGTGCCTCTCACCGGTCTCGTTCACCACAAAACATGAGAACTCTGCCTCTCTTTAGAAGCCTTTTTTCTCCGCACATGAGACACGTTGAAGGAACTTCATGTCTCCATTACGCAAGTGCAATTAGCGCGTAATGGGACGAAATTGGTTGCCTCTTTCACGAGTGATTTATTTAACATTTTTCAGTCATTACTTTTATAGCCCATGAGTCACGCCTTTCAGGGAATAGATCTTAATACTTTATGGAAGAATCGGTTCGAGCGTTAAAAGTACTTCCGGAGATCTTTTATTTACATATCAACAATACCAAATAATCACATTCCATTGATTCTTATAAATTATACGTTTCGAAGGTACACTTACGGTATAAAGATCTAGGTTTAATAAAGTTCACGTGAAAAAATAACGTTTACCATTTCAAACTTAATTGTACTTAAGATTATTTGGTTTGGAACTGTTACTAACGAACAGTTATTCCATTTTTATCACATAACATGCGAACCACATACCAAATATCGTTCTTATAACTTCAACCAAGTATCAGCTTCACGACGATGGTCAAAATATTCAGGAATATCAATGGAACTGTAAGAAAATAATAACTGTGTAATCACATAAAATAACAAACACCGAAATACTTACACTTTGCCACAGTTCTAATCGACCGCACAAGATTCAATAGTTGGAATTTGATCGTCGGTGCTTCTCCGAATCCTTGAATGTTCTGTTGTGCACCCCAGCCAACTACAGGAATAAAAATAGTATAATTCGACCATTTCCATTGACATTATAATATTTGTCAAACCAAGAAAATAAAAAGAAAACAGTTTCAACACCTAACAGATTTGTACCGCGTCGTGACATAACCTCTTCGGCAATTGCAGCACATGTTTATAATATGATATACAAATGAAATAGAAAGCGTATAGGATCAGTACCTTTTACAAGGAATCTTTCTTCGTGTAGAACGCAGACAGCATTTAAACATAAAAGAGAGGCTTCGAATAAAGTCCACAACGTAAACGCCATGACAACTTTTACATCCACATCCACTCCAAAGCTGGCGGTCGTCAATGGATTATGGAGAAATGGTACGCTTCATACAGCAAAACTCCCTAGACATAACGTAAAAATGACAATGCATTTCATTTGTTATTAACATTTATTGTGTGTGCTGGGATTCCAGTTAAAAAAAACGGTAAATAATCACGGATTATGTGAGAAAAAGAACAAGAAGCCGAAATAATTCAAATGAAGTGTCGCACCTTTAAAAGGATTCTTCCCTGTGAGAAATTAACCTATCGTTCCATGTTATCGCAAAAAGTAATGTACAGTTATTATAAAATTTCTGGCAATGTCTTTAAAATTTGGACTGCCTGCATTAGTCCTGAGCACTATTTTTGTGATTCTGTATGTTACCATTGTGGAGAACAACTTGTCAAAAGTGGCCCCAAAATCTCAACTTGTACACGCTGCGTTGCCTCTGTCGAACACAAGCAATTTATTAGATTTGAGGAATTTTAAATATGTTATAAATACTGATTGCAATACAACATTCCTAGTATGGGTTGTAACGTCATATGCAGGTGATCCTGCGGATCGTAGTGCCTTACGTCGAGCATACACTGAGAAAGAACTGCAAGCGTTAAAAATAAGAAGAGTATTCTTACTTGGTACATTAAATGACCAATCCACAGAAACCACTAAAGTCTCTCAATCAGCAATCCTGGATGAAGCCCATAGATTCAGAGATATAATTCAAGGTAATTTCATTGAAGCTTACCACAATTTAACGTATAAGCATTTAATGGGACTACAATGGGCTGTAACGACTTGCAGCCATGCTAGATACGTCATGAAAATGGATGACGATATTATTTTGAACTTATATTCCATATTGGACAAAATTCACTTCATTGCACCTAGCGATGCACTGATGGGTTATATCTTTAAAAACATGGTTCCAATAAGAGAGCCCAACAATAAATGGTACGTCACCAAAGAAGATTTTTCATCCGATGTTTACCCAGAGTTTCTATCTGGCTGGTTATATGTGGCTGGATTAAGAACCGTGTCATTGTTGGTTGAGCGCAGCCGACAACATTCCAAATACTTTTGGATCGATGATGTTTTTGTTACCGGTATTCTTAGGCAGGAATTAAATATAGACATGAAAGACATTCATGAATCATACGCCATGGATTATAGATATTTAAATTGTTGTATCAAAGGAAAGAAGAAGAAATTGAAGTGCGAATTTGACGTCGGGCCCAATGGCGGAGATACCGCGCTACAGGTAAAGTTTAAAGAATTTACAGAGTTCTGTCGTTTCACTTGCTCTGTAAGACCTGCCCAGCTTTCCGTTAAAAATACTTGCATCGTGGCTTACCTAAAGGCAAAGCCAGGGAAAGGTAGAGCGCAAGTACAACCTTTTAAAGTTGTATAATTGTTCATACTGTACATAAGAATATTTAAGTATAAGTCTTTCAATTTTAAGACTGGTTACCTATGTCCATTATTTTTATAAAAGTTTCTATTTATACTTTTGATACCTTATAAAGATTATATAAAATACCTTCTAGCCCTCTTTTTATAACAATCAAGTATGACAAATAAATCTGTATTTTTTAAACACATCCTCCACCTGGTTTCTTCTGATCATAATGAAGAGAAAGCATTCCATCCGATTAGATTTAAGAATGTAGAGTTATTTATTCAAAATAAGTAACAACCTCTGCTATGTACACGGGTGTATCTTCCGATGCGTCAATTTACACTGCAGAGCGTCCTCGTTAAGGATTGTACCATTTCTCTCAAATTAATGTCTAACGTACATAAAAAAAAAAAATTTATTTGTACAGCTCATGGCGCCTGTTCTTTAAAATAACCTATTTCAATGTTGTACCATCTGATTAGCTTGACAGATAACAGCAGATTGACCAGCAAATCACATTTTGGCAAAACCACGAGGACCCTGTCACAGGGTAGTGGTATATGAAGGAATTGAAATTATCCTTTTCTCTGCAACTTGAAGCTTCCACCAAGACTAAGGTGATCACTGCCCACTACGAAGTTAGGAATTGTAGGAAAGGTGGAACACTCCGCAACTGTGGGCAATACATATTTCTCGAGAGGTTCGACTTCGGTGAAAAATATGTAATCCACTGTGATCCATCTTCCTTGATTCGTTGTTGCCTCCCTTTTACCATCTTCCGTGACGTGTTTGTACAAACTCTGCATTTTGAATGGATGCGTTAGACAGCCCGAGGAGAAGTTCACATAGTATCCGTTAAGTATTTCCACCCTCTGATGAATGAGTGATTTTGAATCAAACTCGCCATGGGCAAATCTTTCGACCAAAGAGTTCACCTCTTCGGCTCTGCCTTCGCTATTTTCCAACTGGAATAGAATCATAACAGTATTATTTTGTCAAGCTTCATTTCGTTGAAAGTATCACGATGTATTAATAGATAGAGGGTAGAGTTCTTCAATAAATTATTACAAGTAAAATTACATTCTTACCATGACTTTTCCAGTGTTCTTGCTTTCGAACAACCTCTTTGTTAAAATATTAAGATGCTGGCAATTGTCCGTAATATGTAAACGAGGTGGCATTAAATAATTAGATAAACGGTGATGGTCAGCCTCCTCTAGGGTACGACTTTTACCTTCGTACTCGAAGTAGCCTTCTGTAATAAACCTGTAGACTCCAGTGTTTGGTTCGAGATTAAAGTCACCTGCCAGAAGTATCGGATGATACTTTGGACCTGTCCTATTTAAAAGTCAATAAAGTTACGTTATCAATGTCACATACGATTAATATTATTGCCCAATTTTAAGTTAAGTAAAGTATACCAATCAAAAAAATCTCACACTGTATTTTCAATGAATGCAATCCTTTCAATTTCTGAGAACAACAACTGCGTCTGGCATAGCCTGACATCGTCTCGTCTGGGATTGTACAGTAAGTGAGTCGTTGCGATAACAATCTGAGTGTTTGGGCTCTCCTTGACGGCTAGCTTGACAACCAGCCCTACGTTGTCTCTGCTAAGAAGTTCATTGTCGGATTGAAACATCTCCACTTTGGCATATTCCACCACATCGAACTGGTCCCCCCGATATAGCAGCAACAAACCATCCATCTTGTCATTTGTTCGTTTCTTATATATGTATTTATAACCGAGCTCCTCAAAAGGAGTTAAAAAATCTTTCAAATGATCTTCCTGCATCTCTTGCAGACATATCACCTACAGACAGTTTTAGAGTGGTTAACCTAACATACTATGCAATCGATGCCTAAATGAGGAAATTTTGTAAGGACTAACATTTGCATCCGCCTCGATTATTTCTTGCAGCAACAATGGTTTCCTTACATCCCATGGCAATGCTCGTTTATCATGCTGCTTATACAGGAAGGGGTATCGCTCTAAGAGGTATTGTGCCAATATATTAAATGAGAGAAGCCTTATTACAAAGCTGTCATCTGAATTTACCTTAGACTTCCCTAAAGATACACACATTGTTACTTATCCGAACAAGTATCTTGTGCCACTAGTATCAATCCAAATCGGTAAAGCATGTATTTCCGAAGTAATGGACGTCAAGTTCTAGTCAACTTGAATTTGATTTCCATACCTTTTTTAAGACTCTTCCACCAACGCATGGCTTTGTATTTCTCCCTTGCTTTCAGGTACCTATTTTCAAGTGCACTGCATTCCGATTCGACGCAAGCATCTAATTCACTCGACACAGAAGTCAGCTCTCGATTAACGTTCATCTGAATGCCGGCAGTCCTTTCGCACACTGGAGGAGCATCGGTTGGAACGATACAAGACTCGAAGAAGGGCTCCATGATAGTTCTATTGAATTCTTGGTGCATTACAGGACTGGCTGCGGTCTCCAATAAGTGGAGGTACGTCGAGAAGAGCGCTTCCGGGATAGAGGGTGCCTTGGAGAGATGTCTCAGGAGTAGATGCTTCAGTGGTACCTCCGTCATATGAAGTATCTACACACATACAGCCAGATAAGGACAAATTGTCCAGGTCGATTTACAAGCGGCAAAGCTCGTTATTAACTGACTCGAGGGACAAAGGGTTAACGTACAACAAGAAAGGACCAACTTGCGTGCACCGAAAATCAACGTCTCGCCTGGGACGTCCCGTGGAACGAAACCCACGTCCTACCTTTAGTTCCTGGTACGTGCTCGCAAGATGGACGTTTCTACACACTATACTTGCTACGGAGACAGCCGTCAACAGTCTAGTGGTTGAGCTCATTTATTCGAGGTTAGGTCTCATTGGTTTCACTGGCGGGACGGTCGACGCGCCTCTTTGAAAGTTAACCCGGACGACAACACTCGTCCTTCTCGCGGACGCGACATGATCATCTGGCGCGGAACTAGGTTATGTCCGTGGGCGCTTAATCTACATACGTAACGTTTCCGTGCAAATTTTCTACATGCATGCGCATAATGCGTGTGCGCGTCGAGCGTGCCTCCCGCGCCACGGAATGAACCTTAATCGACGGACCTTGGCGATGGGTGGTACATGTTGATATGGGGTGGCGCACGACGCCGACAGCAGGGCCGAGCAGTACGAACAATGGAATCGAAGAAGGAATCCGTAAACGCCGTTGTTGGAACTAACCGCGACTAGTCGATGGCGTCTGATCGCGACTTCGAGCTGCGCGCCGACCTGGGCGGACCTCGGCCGGAATAGATCGTCGATTGAGTGGATAAGAAAAAGCCAAGGTTGTCGCGCACGGCGTAATTGCACCGACGACTCGCTGCGGTCAAAGGTCGGCCGTCTACAATGCCGCGCCGCCGGCATTGACGCGCGTTCAATGGACGCTCTGCTTATCGCACGACCACGGGACGTTTCCACGATGGCTAATTGTGGAGCGGCTTCTACGATTAGCTGTTATTTCACTCCTTCGACGTAACGGTGAAAAAACTCACGGGAATGAGTGGTCTCGCTGCGACGCTTTTTTCGGGACCCCAATTTATCGCATAACTCCAGAAACTAACCTTTACAATTGATGAGGCGGCGCATGTTTCAACAAGTTGATACCTGTTTACTGGAATGATGACGTTACAGGTTTTTTTTACTTCATTGATGTTTAAGGTAACCGTATTGTGAAAGGCTTAATGTAGAGGTTAGGTATAAGGCATTGAATTGTTAAATATTAAAATTTTATATGGAAGTCGACTTTGGGGTAGTGGCTGGGATATTTATACTATTGTTTAATAGCAGAGAACATTTATTTTATTAAAAGTGGTCTTTTGAGGGTAGTCATCGGTAATAAAATGGAATTTAAAAGCGATAGTTTATCCCATCTAATGAGATCCTACAATTGTGCATGTTTGTACGATACGTCACGTTTCACATGGAATGTCTAATCTATTACACAGCATTGTGCTTTGAAAGGCACTAAGGATCGATGTGTATCTGATTTCTGGCTGCATCTACCTATATGCGATGCACATAAGCGATAAGGGCCTTACACAAGACTTATCTAAAAAGCAGTGTACAGATAACGTCAAAGAAAAATACTTAACACTTTAGTCTAGTACATGTACACGCTCGGATCTTACATATTTTGTGAGCCTACTGTACAATGTAGGTAATATCATTTCCTTGGCATCGCTACTCAATACATTAATATTTAACATCGATATGCAAAGCACAGAGAAGTAAAAAAATATCTCCCCGTCTTGATAGGTTTCTAACTTACATGCAATTGTCTTCTGCATTTGTGTATATGAACCTTTGGTTTTAAAACCTCGTGTAATTGACATTCTTATCATAGGACCTTGAAATCATCTTGGAAGTTCCATGAATATTGCGAAAAGAAGTGCGATACCCACTATAGAAATTATAAATTTTGTGATTTTACAAGTCCTATTCAATTGTCTATTATTTCAGCCTATATTATAGCGCCATCAGAGTCCATTTTGAAGTACATTAAATGCAGCACCCAATGCCCAACTTATCTCGTGACCATTTATCTTTTTGTACAGCTGTAAAAAAGATATTAAATTAATGAAATAGGTTTATGTTAATGAACGAGGAGAGATTGCTAAATCTTATCCACTTACGTTTAATTTAGTTGTTGGTTCTAGATGGAAGCCATCTCGTAGCAACACATAAATAAAGGTCAAGTCCAGGCACATAAATGGTTGATCTGTATTAGGATAGTCACACGTGTCCATTGCAGCTTTTAGAAAAGCATCCGGGGTGATAATCCCTCCAGAAAATGGATCTATGAAACCCACCTATTGCAGTTTAAAACAATTTAATTTTTATAATAATGAAAATATCTGTCAGGACTAGATACACCAATTAGACCAACTTTTAATTTTATCTCCACAATACTCACCTCGGTAGCTCGGTCAAAGTAGTACGAGAAAGCATAAATATCGTGTGATTTTAGATTCAGTGGCTTCTCCTTGATCTTCTCAATATAGCTCTTCACAATTTTGAGACACTCCGGAAATCGAACTACGGGTCTGTCTTCGTCGGTGCCAGCAAAATTTTGTGTCTTGACAATTTTGTGCATTCCATTTATCGGCCCCTTTACTAAATAATTATGACCTCCATAGTTCCATTCGGTCGATACAATAGGGTTCACACACTCTGATCTCACTTCTACAAGGTCATGGTTGTTCAGTTCCTCTTGACTAATATTATAAGTTAAAATTTCTTTCCTAGCGGCCATCAGGCCCATTCCTAAGTAACTGTGCGTATAGACACTCATATTATGACTGAAAGCATTAATGGAATAGATATGCCTTTTTTCTCTCTTGATGTGCTCCTCAGCAGGAGCAAAAGTGATTTGCGTAGAACCTCCTCCTAGGTCTAAAGCCGCCACTGTCTCTTCGGAGCTATGGGAGCCAAGTTTGTCCAATAAATAATTGACAGTGAACCAAGAGAAAATGCCCTCATCAGTGCCCTCCATTATGGACACAGAGTTCTTTGTGACCAAGAAGCCAGAGGTCTCGAATAATTGTCTACATTCTTTTAATAAGCTATTCGCCTTATGATCTGGTAACAATCTGAGGCCTGCAGTTGCTTTCATGACTAGTGGGGTACGCGACCACTCCGACTTAGGTACAACAGTCTTCGCCTTCTCCAGTAATGCTTGCAACGTTTTAGCTCCTTCGCTAGGCTTGTCGGCGAACGAACTTAAGCCTGGTTTTATCTGGTGGAATAATTCACCATCGAGTATTGGCTTACCATTTAAGATAGATTCGTGGAAATTGAATGCTATCACACGACTGGCAGTTGAGCCAGCGTCTATCACAACCACGTAGAAGGGCTTTTGAAAGTTGAATGAAAAAGCCAACGTGTCGATGGCACTTTTTCCCATGCGAACAGGTTTGACGTCGTTCGAGATTGCTATATAGCCAAGAAACAGTATGCTTAACACTACCGCTGCTCCCAAGTATCTTCTGCCAGGTTGACCGCTTCCTTTCTTCGAGTGCGATGCCACATCATTGTCGTGTAAGCTACCATTGTGCGACTGTAACTGAAATAATTAAGTTTACCCAAGCTGAATAAATCAGGTTCGGTTAATTCAGGTGAACATTTTCCAAATGCAACACGTGTGGGAATCCCTTTGCAGAAATTTTATGATCAATGCTTAAAAACTTAACCTCGCTAAAATTCAACCACCCTTTACCCTTTTCTGCCCAAGACGATATATTGCGTTTGAGCTGCTCACTTGCGTGTATCGCATTTATCTCCGGGCTCGATGACACCTAACCGATCGACCTTGGGATAAGGATTATGACGAAAAATCACTCGTTTACACTTCACAATGCTCTATCATCGTGGCGTGAATTAAACACATCGGATTATCGGATTGCTGGGTGATACCGATGCAGTATTACCAATACGTGGAGTGAATTGACACTAGGTTTTTGTTTCCGATAAATCCCGGTTTGTTCCGTTTGTCCTTTGGAAAAACAGTTGGGAAATCGAATTCTTCTCAACGAATAAAATGTCAATTCTAATGAAACTAAGATCCCCCTCATTATTTTATTGTTTCGAGCAGGTAAGCGAAATGTGCTTATCATCCAGCAATTGACTTAATATCCGCATAAGGAAAACCTTTTCACATTTCATGCACCGCGGCATTTTATCGGTAAAGTGGTTGTCAAGGCTACTGACTATTGATAATGCATGCCTTGAAACAGGAAGCTTAAAGCAAAATATCCTACGAGAAAAACCTCTTTTTTACGTAAATGGTGAAAGAGGGTTTTTCGAGATCGAGTTCCGAGAAATGTTATCTCGGGATAGGGTTTCATAATAAAATCAGTCACGTTACAAAGCTCGCAATTGTTCTTGAGCTATTTATAAATTCTCCGAGTAGTATTCCATGCGCTTTACTTAATACTGAATATTTTTTTCAGCGTTTCCAAGGCCATGGTTTTTTTAACGCGATTACAATTTGTCAAATTAAACGGTTTCACGCAGGTTCTCGGAACAATTAATTCCTAACCTATCATTTGCTCGGCCGTTTTTATCGGTTCGATTTCGATGCTCACGTGTCGCCTCGCACGTTTTAGCCCGAAGCGCGGAAGATCTTTTGTATCGATTTTTAATAATCGAGAACATTCTCGAACGCTAATCACCGTTCTTCCTCAAAATGCCGAATTTCGACGTTCCAGGTTTTCGGCGTATCTCGTTTTATCGAAAAATTCGATCGCAAGCAGACGTACCTTTCGTTTTCTAATTTCCATCTTCTGCTGCATCGCCATGGCCGTCGTTGGTTTCAAACTTTAATACGCGCAATTGGCTGTAAATTATTTAAAATACTGCCGTTTAAAAGTACGAGCCAAATTCTGCTGAGCGTTCCGATTTTAACGATTCATTCTTCCTTGTTTAGGAGTAACTGAAGAGCACGATTCGCGATCAACCGAGGCACTCGTACGCGATTCGGCCTGCCGGGTACTGTCAGTCATCGTGATATTGCTTCTTAGATAAGTATTCCCTAGAGATTTATTTCTACTCCCCACCACAAATTCGAAGACACTCCGTAGTAGTTTCAGGCAATCCACGTGTCGGCCTTCAATGAAGTATTTTCTTTTTAAATCTGGATTCAGCAATTCGGCTACATATGTGAAAGAACTGTTATCTATAATGCAGTATGTGTAGGTTCTCAATGTGCATCTGTAGATCGCTGTTTAAATATTACACATCTTTCTAATGAAAAATAGATTTACTTTTCTGTTAATATAACGTGCTTTCAATTGCATTTACCTTGTAAATAATACTATACATTAAAGTTTACACTATAATAATTTTATTAAATGATCCAATCGCAGGTTGTGGAGTAACTCTTCACCTGTAAAATAAAATACGATGGATGTTGTATCAATTATTTTTTGTAACGGTATTTTTGGGGAAGTACCTTCGGCTCGGTACACAGCCGTAGGATCAACAGGGAAAAGGCAACTGACGTCCTCTTTGATCATTGTAGGTTCTATCAACTGAGCAGCCACAATGGCATCCATCGCTCGAACTTGAGAGCGATACATTAGTCTAGCGTGTCCCTCGGCTAACCTGCTTGGCATTGAATAATATTTAATTGGGGGTTAACAAGGTGGAAAGTAGCGAACAGAAGAATATATTAATTCAATTTTTATGTGAGATTAAAATCAGTTAAAATTTTAAGACAGTGTTCCTCTGTGTGGCCTCAAATGTCAAAAAATTAAGAAGGCGATACCTGATAAGACTGTCCAAGAGACGCACCGTTGTTCTCTCCTGCTTTCTATCCGGATGAGATCTTTGGCGTAGATACGAGGCTCTTAGAATTTCCTCGGCTTCAAGGGTCAGACTTGGTTTCAACATGTGTACATATGCCAAGTATTCTCGTAAACTGTCCTCTTTCCATAAACCTTCGGACTTTAAAAGATCCATGTGTGATTTCGCTGTCCTAGAATGCAGTATACCGTGTTGAAACTTTTGATGAGTTCGATGATAGGTCTTTAAAAAATTATTATATGACTTCAATAAAACCTATAATCGTTACTTTTTATTTATTTTCTCTTCAGGCTCGCAGGCAGCTTTTAAAATATGTCTGGTTGTTAAGAGGTCCCATTCTGGATTTTTATTGTCGCGTAAAATTAGTATCAAGTCAAAACGCGAGAGCAGAGGAATTCCCAACCGAGTTTTCAATTCCGCTCCTTCTTCCATGTAACCCCCTATAGGATTCATAGCAGCTATAACGGTGCACCTTGAATTTAATTTGCTCACTAGTCCAGCTTTTGCTATTGATATTGTTTGTTGTTCCATAGCTTCGTGTACAGAAGCTCGATCATGAGAGCTCATTGTGTTGAACTCATCTACGCAACAAACTCCTCCGTCAGCCAATACTAAGGCTCCGCCTTCTAAATGCCAGCCATCTCCATCCTGAAGTATACAATGTATATAAAATACATAAAATTCCATTGTAGTAAGTAGTTTATTAATCATTACTTTAATAGCAGCAGCCGTTAGTCCAGCAGCTGTGCTGCCGATACCAGTAGTTAATACTGATCTCGTAGCCAATCGAGAAGCAGTCCGGAGCATTTGGGATTTGCCAGTTCCTGGATCTCCAATAAAAAGAAGATGGGGTTCACCTCTGACACGCATTCCTGATAGAACAAATTCATTCACATCATTTTTGGTAAACTAAATAGAAGGTTGTCAAAGAATGCCATGAGAAAGTTTGCTTACCCGAAGCATTAGTCTTTGACACTCCACCAGCAAGAACGACAGCTAATGCTAACTTCACTGTGTAGAGCCCAAACAGCTAAAATAATAAAATATTTTATATTCACTGTAATATTTGTAAAGAAAATTGAATCATACTTGTGGACAAATCGAAGCAAGGATTTTATCTCTTCCGACTAAAGGGTGGTCTTTAAAATTTGCCCAATATTTTTCAAAAATATCCTGAGTTTCCTGAGTTGAAAATTTCGTATCTAATACTTTTCGATGAATTGTAACACTATTCGCCAACAAAAAAGGTGTTGTTTCTATGCGTTGACCAACTATTAGCGTTGGATATCGATTAATGAGTACACCGCTGTAGAATTAAGGAAAATTAATTACATTTAATTTTCTTACAGATTAAAATGAAAGATAATTGTAATTCTATCATTGCTCCTATTGTAAATGATTACTTTATGTCTATTTCATCTCCTGGTCTGCATTTGTCCACTAAATCGTCAATCAGAGTAATCCGTAAATGTTCCGTGTAAAGAGAGCTTCCATCAGTCTTTCGCTTTTGCTGTTAGGAATTATAAATTAAATTTAAATATATTCACAGCAAAATCAATAATCGATATCACTTGAAAAAATTAACCTGAAGTCGGATATCTTGATAGTCTGTGCAGTCTTCGTTTAGAAATGTGTCCAATGCCGAGACACTATGCGAGTGACAGGCTTCACATTCCATAACATCAGGGAAAATCTTTCTTTCCCACTCGAGCTGTATATTTTATCATTGAAGATCTATTGTTTGCACGCATATATAGAGTAGAATTATTAGAATACTTGCTTTGGCTAAGGTAACATGTTTACACTTCCGACAGTTGAACCTTTTGATTAATTTCAAAACTGTTGGTTGAGACGTCCGTACCACAGTTCCTCTTGCACAGACTAAAGCTCCGATTCGATAGCCAGTAATTCCCACTGGAATGGCTATTATTCGTGTTCGCACCTGAATGGGCGAAACATATGATACATATAATTCATGACACAATATTATGAAATGCAGTTACATGCCAATTTTTTTATGCTTTGTCCTTTAGCAACCAGTTCTTCTTGGGCTTTGATAGCACCTTCATCGCACAACGGTAAGTAATGTCTAGGATGTTGACATATTTTATCGGCTGCATCTGCATCATCATGGTGCAACGAAACAAAACTATAAAAACAATGCATATAAAAGTGATAGAGGAAATAATAAACGTCTATAATCTGTAGGATTTAATGACTGCTACAAAACTTACTTGACATATATCGAATAATATACGTCTTCGTTTTCCGCGTCCAAGATTTCTTTAAGTTCAGATAAGTGATGTTTCAAGAAATACTCTTTTAGCATACTTCTGTAACAATTTTTGAAATCTCGAGTACAACCTGTTGAAGATCTGACTTAAAAATACACGAGATGTAGTCCGAAACGTACAAACAATTTATATTAACATGTCAAGCAAATTTTTGAACTGGATAAAACGTTTAACTATTTGCCTATATCTTAAAATAATAGAGATTTTAGGAAGTTTTCACAAATGGTATTGCGGAATAGTGCCCCTTTGCAGGTTTAGGCAGGTGGATCACCTGGAAGCAGCTGATTTGGCAGAGATGAGTTGGGAGATTGCCATAATGGTAAGCCACCACCGTCAACTGCCTCATGGTATTACCATCACGAATACGTGAGCCGCCAACGGCAACTGGTAGATGGCACAGTCATCGCGAGTGCGCGAGCCCCTACTCGAAATTCGTTGCGCCGCCCTTGGGGGCAAAAAACGGTGAAAGCTAACGTACGAAACCAGAGGGCAGCACACGATGTGATCGCCCGACCCTGCCCGTGAGCAATCTCCCAACTCATCTCTGCTCATATCTGTATAGGAAACTACATTACGGCATGTTGGTATTGAATATGAAGAGGATTTATAAATTGGACAAAGTGGTTTAGGAGCAGTGTAAACTCGGCAAAAATTGTTCATTTTTGTGATTTATTGACAGGTGTGCAATGATCATTAGATGTCATTCTTGAAAACTCGCTCATGAGAAATTATGACTGAAGTATGTAATTCAGATTTAGAGAATGTCGTCTTGGAGGATACGAGTGCTGATACTGTAGAGGTAGTAATTAGGAGAAAATATAAAAATCTAGAAATTACGTTATTTTGTATACATTGCATGATTTCCGAATTAAATATGTATGACATCTTAGGGTAGAGGAAGGCATAAAAGACGCCTTAAAAAAGTGCTGCACTTCTCTGATGGCGATCTGGAGGAGTATTCAGAGGACGAAACCGATACTGGAATTCTTGATAATCAGGTTGCTCTTGTAAACCCGGTAACATCTGTTTTTTAAATGTTGTGTATCATGTACTATGGTACATAAAAGTTTCTCCCCAACTGGATTGCAAATTCACAACTGAATATTTTATAGGCATCCTTGGAATGGGTACCATGGATTTGGTATCAGACCATGCGCGCCAGTTCTAAAGTCCTTGACGGCTGCGATTACATGGGGGAATGGTTAGCTGACATTTTAGGAATAACTTCTCCTAAGTATGAGTTTGAAATCAATGAGTACTTAAGAATGCAAGCTGCCGAAGCTGAAGAAAAGAAGAGGGAAGATCTGGAAATGGGTGGTTGGAACGATCAAAACAGGAACAACCTTATTGTGAATAACACAGCAGAAACTGAAATAAAAACAACATAGTGAGTCCGTGGTAAACTTAATTTAAAATAAGGAATAAATTGTAACGCGTGTTAGGTATCGTTTCTCAGACTATATTTTGCGTTCCATCGCTAAAATTGCCTTACAAAGCAGTAAACGGCCAATATGGATTGCTTAAAAAAGAATATTTTCTACGCACTAAATGCTGCGGATCTACTAATTAGTCTTTATACATTGATAGTCCTACCTTTTTATTCAGTAATCAGTAATAATGTTTAAGATTACCCTCTTCAGTATATTTATACAATCGAAAATTACTAAACAAAATACTGAAGCTGTGAACACATCTATGAGTGTTCCATCTAAACGTACATGTTGACTGTACCGATCCAATAATATTACTTTGTCAAAGTATTAACATCACTGTTTTGCTTAACACGGATCGAATCCTTTAATACTAATTAGGTTGTATCTATCATTACTAATTTGTACATAAAGGCTTCGTACCGCTGTACAATCTTTGCTTGCTTTTTAAAGTTTACCTACTTAACAGTCTTTAATAAATAATACCGCATTGGGTAAGATGCATCAATTCCCATGGTGAACTGTGAGTTGTCGACGTCTCAAATAATTTTTTATAACAGCTGGTTAACTTGTCAATTAAAAAACAGAGTTGCTTCAGGATTTCGTAAATTTTTCTCAAGTGTTTCATAGATTAGGGTAATATTCTCTGTGACGTTTACATTGCTTTACCTCGTAGGAACTGTATAGTCTAGATGACGATAACTCAAGGCTCTGGGACAAATCTGTGCAGAGCACTGGTCAACACTAGTAATGAACTCTGCAGGCCTTGTGGCAAGTGCCTCTGTAACCATGCACCTTTATACTGTTCGATGTGTGCCAGCATTTTATTTGCTATGTCAGTCCTGAACGTAGGTGGTAAATTGCACACGCCCAAGTTGATGACTGCAAGGCCCATGTTACTATTAGGATTCACTCCGACGCCCATTAAAGTTCTACCGATTCGACAAGCTGTCAACATCAGATCAGCTGTCAACTGGAGTTCTTGCACCTCCATTGAAGCAAATTTCGATGCGAGATTCCCCTCGTACAAGGAATGCGACACTCGCTTAATCTGCTTCGTCATTTTCTAAAAGGTACATGAATTATTTTTATAATCATTTTATAAAGGATGCTAAATATGACAGTATCAATAAAGTGTAACGTAACCTGTCAAAATGAGGAGGTAACGAGACTTACCGCAAATAAATCAGCTGACAGAAACTCCAAGTTGACGTTATTTGGATCGGTTAGCAATCTGTAGAGTGTAGATCCTCGATTATCCGGAATCTGTTTCAAGTCGTTTGTCCCTTGGTTCTTGCTCAAGGTGAGAACTAAAGTGTCCACACGTCCCAATTCTATGATCGCACTTCCTATTTTGTGCTCAGAGTCTTGGAAGACATGAATATCCAGTAATTTGATCAAAGACCGCTGGTGCCTAATCAAATTAATGTAATTTAAAAAAAAATGCCCACAAGAAAGGACCACGTAGCAAAGATTTTACTCACTGTAATCTGCTTGAACGAAGCTCAAAGCCATCGAAAGGCACCACATCAATTTCAGTATTTGGATTCCAAGCTAAACCAGCTCCGATCAAATATCCCACCCAAGCGAATGTATGGGGAGTCAAATGATGGCTACCAGACCAATGAGCAATTAATATTCCTATGGAACTCTGTTCCGCAGCAGTTTTTACAGCATTTCTTGTATTAGCATAAGTTGAAGCAGGGCAACCTGCAAGACTATTGTAACTCGCAGTACCAGAGCTAGGCAATACATTTCCACCAGCGATTCGGAATGTCTCCGTCCATTCTGAAAAATCGTAATCAGCCTACGAAATGATAAAAACTAACGTTAATAAAAGAATATAAAAAGGATTGGCAATCACTGAGAACAAACACTTTGTAACGATAAATCTAACCTGAAAACCATATTCAACAAGGATGACGTTAATGGGTACACTTCGAAACTCTGGTTTAGAATGCAGGCCATTAGAACAGAGCAATAGAGTAGTGTTAGTGCTCAGATTGAGAATATGCCACAATTCTTGAAGAGAAGAATATGACTTGAAGACTTCAGACATGTCTGTTTCCACAGTCTCATTTATTGAGAAACTGGAGTCAAGGCTTTCCGGCTGGACCAGCAGACTTGCCAATCTTGGTCCCACGTGGACGTAGCTTAAGCTTGGAAAGGTTGCTAATAATTCTTGGAACACTGGCCACATTTGACCCAGGTGCCGTTGACTTACATTGGAATCAACGTCTAGCACTGGCACTAAATCCAAGTGACGTTCTCTGAGAAATGTATAATTTTAGATAATGGTTGATACAAGGTTTAACTATTCCAAAATACTCACTTGCAGTAGCGATCAATAGTGACCATTTCAGATCTTGAGTAACAAAGCTGCCACTCGCAGGTTAGAGTTAATCTAGAATAGAGATGCAGGTGCGATATTTTGAAGGAAGACCACAGATCTATTGTGTGGAGTAAATACTCAATGTTGGGAATTCGGCCTTTCGGAGAAATGTCGAGGAGTACTCCTCGATGAACAAACCTAGGTTCGTCTTTTATCAGCACTGAATCAATTTCGCACACTTCTGTGTTAGGATTTTTGCTTAACCGCAGAATTTGCACCAGGGTACAAACTGCATAGTGGAGTCCAGCTAAGCTACCGGCACTAATTTTAATCGATGATTGGGATATATGCAACTGATAGCCTTCTGGACAATTGAATAGCTTCTTGTTAACAATGCATTCTATTCTGTTATCTTCTGGAAGTCTGCCCGAACCTGGCTGAACTTCTCCAATTTTTACGTCGTGACCCAAATCCAGAAGGTGTGTTCTACTAACTTCCCATACATCTAATATCCTGTGTATAGATTCACTTCCCTAAGAAGTTAAGATTAGGTCCAGTAAGGAAATCTGAACTATTTGTTCATTAATAAATGTAATAGGCTTTAATTTTTACTTACTTGGATGATGGATATGAAAAGTTCCTTCCCAGCAATGAATGGTCCCGAAAGTGTGTTGAACTCAATAATGGTCTTTGGCACTGGCCAAATTAAATTGTATATTCCATCTCTCTCCATTGCTGCCCCAAGAGGACTTTCAGAGCCACATGATTCTCTTGTTGGAATGTCATATGCTTGATCTGACGACTTGTTCAAATCGACGGAGAGTTGACTAATGTTATTGGAAAGAGATTTCTGAGAGAAATTTGTTTCTGCAAATTGGACGGGAGGGCTATGCATGGCTTCGGACTCTCTACTAAAGTTACTAGGAAGAAATCCTTGAAGTAAACACTGAAGATGGGGTTTATTACGAGAGAGATCATAAGGTGACTTTCCGGAGAACGTTCTGAAATATTATAATTGTGATAATTTCTTAAAATCAAATAGAAGAAAAGGCAAATCGAAATTTTATTTATACCCTTTTACTGCATGCACAAGAGGATTAGCTCCAGATTGCAATAATTCTTGGCAAATAGCAACATCCCCTCGATTCACTGCATCATGCAGAGGTGTGGCACCACATCCATTCTCTGCATTAACATCTGCCCCACGATCTTGGAATAAATATTTTAATTTTTAAAATTACTTGAATATTGTATGAAATTTGTGAATTAACTGGGTGTTAAGGTATTACCTATAAGACAAGCGACAATATCCTTGTTACCATAGCAAGCTGCCCAATGAAGTGGTGTATTTTTACTACCTTCGGAATCCCATGAGTTAATATCTATACCAGTGGCAAGCAACTGAATTACTCTACTCACTCTGTGAACAAAAAATATGCACCATGTATATCGATTCTTTAAACGAACAATTTACATTAAAAAATCTCACTTAGATGCAGCTGTTGCTCTTAGTAATTCTTCTACATAAATCTGGCGCATTGTTTCAGTGGAAGCCACATCAACTGCATTTTGTCCCTGTGAATTTTGTACAGATGGATCTGCTCCGTAACTTAACAAAGTCCGAACTACATCAGGTTGATTTGTCTGCATGAATAACAAATTATCATATTAATTATTGTCTTATCTCTATGTACGGTATAATCTATTTGTAGTGCATGTATGCGTAGTGTGTTAATAATGCATAAAATTCTACTCACTTTGGAAGCATATAAGAGGAATGTTCCATCTTCTAAAACAGGTTGATTCAATATTTTTTCCCTTGTAACTCCATCTCCAGCATTTCCATTTTCACCTAATTACGACAGGGAAGTAGAAAAATTCATATATAATACAGGTCAGGAAACAGATCAGTGTTTTGATGGCGGAAGTCGGAAGAAGCCGAATGTGAGGTTACGTAGTAATAAATATTTACACTGGCTGATACTAACATGCGTCCAAGAGAGATCTGATAATATCGGTTCGTCCATGCTCAATTGCCGTTCGAATATTCTCACAGATGTCCTGCATCGTTGAATTTTCTCTATTTCCAGAGTATTATCTTGGCATTATGAAAATTGGCGAAAACTGTCCAACACATTACTAAAGTCGTTTACAGCGAGCATGAAATCCTGGTAAAATGGAAGACGTTTTCATCGTGAAAAATGTATTGAATTCCGAAACGGAGAGTAGAAGTCCGTCAATCACTGACAGGTATTTATTGACAGTCGTATAAATTTAATCACAATGGTATTTAAGTGCGATTCAGTTTCATGTCCTGATTCGTCCATTATTCGTCCATTATTTGTAGATTTCTAACCTAACATTCTGCACGCCCTAGAACGAGTGGAACAATGACGACGTCCGAGAGTCTCTGGCCTTATTTTCTAATTGGATGCATCTTCTATGGATTTGGCTTAAAATGGTGCTACGAATGCGGGAAATATTGGTCGTCGACAAAATCTGAAGAGGAACGTAAGAGTGTCACGCTACTAGGCTTTCGTTGGCACTGTGGAAGGTTATGGAGAAGCCACCCTTTCGAGGGAAGTCTGAAATTAATTGCTACAGCTGTAGGTCTCATAGGGACTCTAATGAGTGGGTTACCAAACGACAGCATAGTCTCCCCAAAAGTTATACATGTCACTATATATCTTTTCTTTGCATTATCAGGACTGGTCGATGTCCTTAATTTTTATTTTCCATACAATGTGGACACTTCTCTCGTTAAGCTAGCACTAGCGCAGAGCTTCTTTATCGAAGGATTTCTATTCAGTTGGACAAATGACGTTTCGAATCCTTTAATCATCGTGATTTTGTCCGCGGTCGTGTGGACGACCGCGCTCGTCATAATGCTGGAGCTAGTTTGGTCGGAGATAAAGCTTCTACGAGCCAATGCCACTTTACTGCACGGTTCGTGGATAGCACACATGGTTCTTTTATACCGGATAGAACCTATCCCACCAGAAAAAATTGCTCTAGCATTCTCGTGGCACATTGCAGCAGCCTCCGCAGTTACGCTGTGTATTATCGCAGTCACGAGAAGTCGAGCACCGCGATTAACGATCGATGAACCTCCCGAGATTCCGATGTACGATTACTGCCAGAGCCCAGCTCACAGAACATAATGATTTAAATACGTCGAATGAATATTTAAAACAAAGTGCCTTCAGGAATATGGCTGTAAACTTCGAACCGCGAAGTGCCTTTATAGAACGTTAACATCACTTTTAAACCAATGTTGATAGCATGAGACTTGTATTTCTACTTCTATTTAATTATTTACTTGCATTTACCAAGCATAGAGTGATAAGACTTCCGCTACCCCAGTGCCAAACTTGTTGAGGAGGGTGTTACCTTTAATTCTAAGTGCCTTATGATATTACCAAACTATTTATGCGATTGTAACGAGCGCGCACAACGAAACTTGAACCGAATTCAAGTCTATTTATTATAAGTTCTGCTATTATCCCGTTCTTCCGGATAAGTGTGATGTGATTAGGACATTAATGTATACGAAATGCAAATGGTGTTATTGAAATGTAAAGTCTATCGTTTATTCCGTTAAGTTTCAGCCCTAAATTCTCGGGTAGAAGCGATTCAATCGTTGCACCGAATGCATTTCAATTTTGTCGGGGTTCCCTGACATCGAGGTCAATTTCCGCGAGTGTACCTAGCGGGCGTTTTTCCTTTGTCTCGTAATAATTCGCCAAGCGAATCGCATTAGCCATTCGAGGGACGAGTTTTCGCGATCGCGATTGCGAGGCCTAGCCGATACGACTGGATACGACCTCCCGAAGGCTTTGCGGGGTCGCGCGGTGTACAGTGCCGGCAAAACTGAGTCAATTTGCATAACGATAATTGAGACGCACATGAAAGGCCCTTCCGAGCCGCGCAATACCGTCCACGAGCGAGGCGGGTTTGAATCCCGAAAAGCGAATCGATTTCGAATCCGCGATAGACACGTCTGCGTACGGCGAGTCTCGTTACGAGAGGTACGACCCTCTCCGGAGGAGTCTTTAAATTATCCCGCGAAGTGGAGCCTCTCCCCACGGGGAATCGCAGAATCCGCGGAATTTTAATTGATCGCCGTTAATTAATTTCGCAGGAATTACTGCGAGAAAATCGGTTCCACAGAAAGTGACCCCGGAATCGGGACCCAGGATCTCAGATTTTCGTTGATTTAACGATGCGAGCGCCACGCGCGGAAAATGGGAGAACACCAATTCTCCATAACCAAAACATTTCCTATCGATGTAAATGACCTAAAATACTTTTAATTTCGCAATTAAGGTACATACGCAACGCGAAACGATAATCCGCGCATGATGCACGGAATGTGATGTTTTTATCGCGATAAAGACCACTGGCAGACGATAATTTTGAATTTGCAAAATTTTATCGAGGAAGCGCCTCGGCAGTAGATTGGAAAAAATCTGAAGATCTTGGGCTCTTAAAGGGGGAACAATTTCAATCCATGGCGTTTATCACCTTATGCTACTTTCGATGATACACCTCCCAGCTGTAAATCGAAAAATATCGATGATAACAACGAGGCACTTCGTGTCGGTGGCTCTCGAATTTTGAAAACGCAGTTTCGTCGACATCGCCCGTCAAGCACGCGACAAACGAAGCTGTCGCGCGGCCCGAGTGTACCTACTCGATCTCTCGATTTTATGCTCTCATTGGCGGGCCCGGTCGCGTTATTCGCCGATTTTCACGCGGATACCGCAAGTGTCCCACTTTGTTCGTCAAACTGACAAACACTGCCGGGTAGGTGCACCCGGCGGGCCGCGGTTTCGCATTACAACAGAATCTTTCGCTGACACGCGTCGGAACGATGGATAAACAAAAAATGGACGGGAACTTCAGGTGTCGGGGAATAACGCGAATGCAACTCTATATTATTTGGTTGTTATTTTGTCATTTACATATATTCCACGAGGACTACGAGTACGACGGACATTCGTATCGTAAGGTATCGTGGAAAAGCGAAATCGCCATTGTTGAGCCTCCTTGGACAGGGGGATGCCCTATAATGCGCGCAAATAATCCTACCTCGGAATCGCCGGACGATTTCGCTAAATTAAGTGGATAAACAGCCCGCGGCTGCCCGGAACGCACTAATAACACACCGCGTATGACAGATGTGACAACCTCTTGGAATATAATCCGCCCACTACAACGGCGGGTCGCACCCCCGGATTTTCGAACGACCGATGTGTCATGGTGGGTTCGGCTGAATTCGGCCTAATTTGGAAAAATTCCGAGCCCTACCCCCGACGATTTTCGATAGCGCGAGTGTATGGTGTAGGTGTAGTCCGATTTGGAAAACTCTCCCTCGGATATCGGGGCGTGGGACTCGTCACTCGTGGATCGTAGATCCGGGATTTCGGGGCGCGAGGAAATCGGTCGGCCGCCATCTTGGAATTAGGAAACGAGCATGTCGCAACCTGGCGCATCTTTTGGTGCACGTCGACGGGGCAAAGTGACAACAGGGGCCAGCAGGGAACTGGAAACGAAGAGAAAAGACGGGAAAAGAGAGAAGTGCGGCGGGGAGAGCGGAATTTTAACCATTTTCATCCGTCGGAATTCCGAGTGTCCGCGCCTCCCCCTCGACGCGGAGCATCGGGGGGGTGCAATTCATATTTGTCCGTAGGCAGCAGCGGAATTGCACCTTTAATCAAGATTTCTACCAATTTGCGAGCGCCGACGGCGCGAAGACAAAGCCTATTGTTGCCGTAACTGGTTGGGGCTTCAAGTGTTCCAACGCAACGGCGAGAGCCTCGATGCGCGGGTATACCGGGTGTGCCTTTGGGACGGCCCCTGTCCCGAAGGACCTCGTCTCCCAAAAGCATTCCAGATGTACCCTAACGTCCCAGCTCGCTAATGCCTTCCCTCCGCGACCTGCAGGAACGGTCATATTTTTCCTGACAGAATCTGCATTTCCTACATAGGCTCGGTTCCACGACTCAAATTAACTGAAGCTTAACTGGTTTGCTTGATTCAACCTGCCGTAAACCGGTTAAACTTCGGTTAACTTGACTCGTGGAGCTGGGCCTTAGTGTATTTGTTCACTTTCACCGTGTGCGATCGGTCGCGTTCGAGCGCGTCGAATATGCGATTGGTGAGTTCTCTCCTTTTTCGTACTTTCGAAGTTCGAGTAGCCCCCGTTAACCTCTACACTTACGTCACGGGTTTTGCGAATCCGCCCCGGAGGAACTTTAGACCTCGCATAGCAGTGGCAGGGGTAAACTCGAATACCACATGGACCACGTGTGCCGACGGAACACGGATCCACTCAGATTTTAAACCATATATTTATGTAGACTGAAAATCTGGGAGTGGGAGGTCCAATGCGAGGTCTAGATATATACGGTCTAAGCTCTGGGACTGCCCGGCTAAGTCGCGTCTCTTCCCCTAGATGGCGACGGCAACGCTCGCTCCCGGCTGCTCCCGTCCCACCCGAGTGAGCGGTTCCACCAACTTGAAACCTCTCGTGCTTCTGTTTGTGTTTGCTAATTGCGAATTGTCTACTTCTTGCCGGTCCTCTGTCGCCTCGCCGCATGCGAGCGGGGTCGAGGAGGGCCGAACGTGGCCGAGTGGAGCCGAGAGTGGCCGAGTCCGGCCACGCACGTCGGATTCCGTGCTTACACCCACACGCGGCGCGGAATGCTCAGACCTAGGAAAAGCCAACTCCACCTGGGGGCATGCACCCCTTTGAGACCTGCCTCTCGAGTTTACCTCACTGGTCGTTGTTTACACGGGCACGGCTCGTAGAGACCGGAGGGTCTGTGCCGAAGGGTACCGATTTCCCGTTGTGCCTTTGACTAACCTTGCAATGGCACTCGGAACGAGTCACGTGAAGTGAGTCGCGAGTCGGGGTGATGGAAATCCTGAAACGTCTCGACATCAACCGTGACAAAGGACGCCACATCAAATCCCAAGTTTTATAAAATGGAGCTCCACGAGAGTGGTGCGTCCATGCGTTGAATTTTCTTTTTCTTTCACGCGTGCGACGATAAATTATAAGGCACGTATTGTCCTAATCGACGGACAGGACGCGTAAGGCCATATTTTAGTCTAATCGCGAGGCATTGTCCTGTAGGTAGACCTATGTGGCGCGGAATGCTCAGATGGAGGAAAACCCACCATTCGCCCCCCTGGGGGCATACGCCCCACACTCGAGCGGCTCCCTCCACCCTGCTCAACCCCTTCGTGCACCCTGCCTCTCGAGTTTACCTCACTAGTCGGTGCTTACACGAGTGCCGACCGTCTCTGTATCTACCAAGAGGCTCCAGTGAACTAAAGGGTACCAATTTTTGGATGGCCGTCCTGGCCATCCTTACCGAAGGTCGGTTGCCCCTAAACATTGAATAAAATGTTGTTGAATATTTTAAGGTTTTCAACGTTACCGTTATCATCGGCAAGATCGGCCAAGGCGTTCAGGTTTCACCGATGGAAAAGGGAAGAATAGAGAAAATAGGGAGAAATGTAGTATTCCTATATATAGAATTTATTAGTCCTCGTGAATTCTCTGACATTTTTTCCTTTTCCTCCAGGACACTGTGGGTCCCCTCGTTGACCGGACTGTACCAACCCCAACCCAAGTTGGAAATGAAACGGTGCAAAGAAGAACTAGTGTTGCAACCCACGGCCGATGCACCCCAACCGGCTCGCCGGTCAAAATATTCCCGTCCTCCACCGAGACGGGGGACATATTGTTTGGTTCAGTAATTCCTCACGTTATTTCCCGTGTTTGCTTTTTATCATTGTAAACTGATATATTGTTCGCGGTAACTCCCCCTCGATAGAGTACGCTAGTCCCGTCGCGGAGGAGGGGGACGATGTGCGGATGCGGTGCAGCCACCAGGGGTTGCTTAGAGAAAGAAAACCTGTCGCCGCCTCTGAGGGACGAACGATTCCGACTACACGCCCTGGTCGAGCCCAAGGAGTCTCATTAAGCGAAGTAAACTCCCCGAGCCAGGATTTAGACGGACAAACGGTCGCAAAGGTATCAGACTTTCTGCCGAAAATTTGGACACCCAGGTGGTTTATTTTTTGGCTTTGTCCGGCGGCTCGGAACATTTATTGCTCGGATTTGAGAGCGGAAGCGTCGGTGCTTGAAATTGACCTCCTCCGAGGGAATCGAATACCACGCCCTCGCACTTTACGTCGAGCTGACGATCAAATTTGAACTCTGCGTCGTCTAGTGTTTGCGGATAATACACTTCACCCGCCTGTCACATGGCACGACACGTGGCTTAACACCGAGCTCGTTGCGGGCAAACAAGGCTTTAACGTCTTAGGGACGTTAATCCCTAATCCTAGGACAAACGGAACAATTGGGTACGTGCGTGTCAATCCATTAGTATATAATTCCACTTCTAATTCTAAATACTACTTTACAGCAAGTAAAACTGGCGCATCAATGTAGCAGCTGTGTCTCGATGGGTACCCGTTCCACGGCGGAACGTCTGGTCATACATCTTACGTATTTTAAAGCGGCCACCCATCCAAGGACCGACCACACCCAACGTTGCTTAACTTCGGTGATCGAACGAGAGCTGGCGCTTTTAACGTGAGTCGAGCGTTGACGATTAGGTTAGGTCAGGTCGGGTTAGTCGAGGTTAAGCCGCGGAGCTGGCTCGCGGACGGAAGTCTCTCGCCGGCGGCGCATAATCCGTTCCGCGGTGGCAGCGCGCGGCCCCTTCGTCCGCCCGCCGTCTTTACCAGCCGAGCGGGTA